CAGTTGCATAAGAGTTTATATTTAAAGTAGATAAATGAGTAAGCGAATTTGAATATGTGGAAGATATTAAAAATAAATTTAAGGGAACCGCAGAAAGAGGGGGAAGGAAGTCAAGTTTTAAAATGTCAAAATGATTGTGAAATCAGTGAAATGTATATATCTGAAAAGTATAAATGAAATTAAAAAAAAGAATAAAGTTGGGAACAGTGGAGGCTGTACCATTTGGGTGTTTATGGAAAACAATCTTACACGGCTACAAGTGATCACCAAAGAAGAAGACCATTTGTGTGGCCTCAATATGACCTCACCTGCCTGGTTCCTTTTTTACCACCAGACGCGGGTGGTGCTGTGGGTTAAACCATTGAGACAAGGACTTGCCAATAGGCAAGGGAAGGTAAATAGTATTTCTGTGTGCTGCTCTGGTTTTGTGTGCTGCTCTGGCGGGAAGGTAAACGACGTTTCCGTGCGCTGCTCTGGTTCGCCAGAAGCGGCTTAGTCATGCTGGCCACATGACCCGGAAGCTGTACGCCGGCTCCCTCGGCCAATAAAGCGAGCTGAGCGCCGCAACCCCAGAGTCGTCCACGACTGGACCTAATGGTCAGGGGTCCCTTTACCTTTAGTAGGTGGTATTGCCTGTCAGAAGGATATTGACAAAATGGCAGGTGTGCAAAGGAGGGCAGCCGAGATGATGAAGGGCTTGGAAACCAAGCTTTGTGGAGAACGGGATGTTTAGCCCAGAGAAGAGATGGAGAGGCGATACAATAGCCATATCTGAAGGGCCGTCACATGGGAAATGGAGCAAGCTTGTTTTCTCCTGCTCTGCAAATTGATGTAAAAATCGGGGTTTGGCTTTTTATGCCCAACTCTCCACGGGACTCCGAGTCCATGATCGGTCAGAGAAAAATGGATAGAGGCTGGATCCAGTGGAAAGCAAGGCAGATCTTTATTTTTCTGTTGCAACAGAGCTCCCTTCCAAAGAGGGAGAGACCCTGATTAAAAGTGCGCAGGAACCTTTAAAGACTTTGACATTGCCCAACCCACTTAGCCAAAGACCACCCCAAAATCAGCATACTTACATCATAGGAGATGGTCTACAGCAGAAATCCTGTCTGCCAGGATACCTGATTGCATTACCTGGGCAGCCTGGCCATTCTTTTGTGAGGATTAATTCTTTAGTTCCTGAATCCAGGTCACAGGCTCACCCTATTCATACACAGATACGCCCTTAAGACAGGATTTTCAAGCAAAAAGACAATGGGAAGGCTTTCCCCATTTGCCTCCCTTACTGCAGAGGAATATTTGAGGTCAATGGGAGAGTAAAAATGGCTTCAGGATTGCTCTCCTGTACTATTTCAGACACAGGGTTTATATATTTAGATATGTGTGCATTTATGAATATTTATTCTATATTTGAGACCTTAAAATTCTTATAACAGGAGGGTAAGTCCCAAACTGGACATGGGTTGCGCTGTGGTCTATAACACAAAGCCTAGGGCTTACCGATCGGAAGGTCAGCAGTTCGAATCCTTGTGACGGGGTGAGCTCCCGTTGCTCGGTCCCTGCTCCTGCCAACCTAGCAGTTCAAAAGCACGTCAAAGTGCAAGTAGATAAATAGGTACCGCTCCGGCGGAAAGGTAAACGGCGTTTCCGTGTGCTGCTCTGGTTTGCCAGAAGCGGCTTAGTCATGCTGGCCACATGACCCGGAAGCTGTACGCCGGCTCCCTTGGCCACTAAAGCGAGATGAGCGCCGCAACCCCAGAGTCGGTCATGACTGGACCTAATGGTCAGGGGTCCCTTTACCTTTACCTTTAAGTCCCAAACTAACTGATTTAAATGACAAGTGCCTATGCTACATTCTGAGGCCTGAGGCTGACGTCTGCAAGCTTCATGACAGTCTTTTAAAAATGTTTTATTACTACTAGCAATTATTCCTAAAGGACCATCACCCCCATCGTTCAGCCCAGACACTGAGATCAGCTCCGAGGGTCTTCTAGTGCATAGCTGTCAACCGTCCCTTATTTGGCGGGAAAGTCCCTTATCCCAGCGCCGTGTCCTGCTGCTGTCCCTTAATGATGATTTCCCTTAAATTTCCCGGGTTTCAAAGGAAGCAGCTCCTCTCCCTCCCTCCCTCCCTGCCGGCCAGGGAGGAGGGAGGCTCCAACCGTGTTACTTGGCTGCCCCCCCCGCCCCCCCGCCCTCCTCTCACCAGCCTCGGCCCCCAGGAGCCCCTCCCCACTGGGACTGGCGGGAGCCTCGGGCCCTTCCGCTGCCATCCTCCTCACGGCCGCCCAACTGAGTGTCTCCACCTGGGGCCTCCCCTCTGCCTGTCGCTGCCACTCCTGCTAGGCCGTACTGCGGTTGCGCCGCTGAGGGACCTGGATGAGATGTGCAGCCTGGCGCAGCCTATGAATTGCTGAGGAGCCTTGAGAGGAGAGCAAGGGCAACCATAGAGAAAGCAGTTCAGAGAGAGGAGGAGGCGGAGGCGCAGGCAGATGTTCCAAGGGCTAACCATAGAGGGGGAAAGCGGAGGAAGGGCCGCAAGTGCTTCTCCCATAGATTTGTAGTGGTAGACTAGCATAGATGGTCTGATCTGCGGGTTTACTTCGGGCGCTATCTCCCCCTCCTCTCTTCCTCCCGCCCCGCCTGATGGAACTGAGAGCTGCAGATGGAGCACAAGAGAAAAGATACAGAACTGCAGCAGCATCTTTGTAGCTTGGACTTCGTTTTGCTTGAAAAGTGGTTGCTGCTTGTAGTTATTTAATTGCAGTGTTTCTTCAGCTGGTGTCCTCAGCAGCAACCTCTGGAAATGAAGGGCTAAAAACCAGCGCTGCTCTCCAAAATTATCTGGTCCCTTTTAACTTCATATTTCAGCTGGTTGACAAAATCCCTTATTTTGGCTGCTGATTCCTTATTTTCAAGGCTGCTGGTCCCTTATTTTCAAATCTGTAAGTTGACAGCTATGTTCTAGTGGTTCCCTCATGATGAAACATGATGCTCCAGGGACCCGGGCAAAGGGCCCTCCCAGGAGATGTCCAGGAGTTAAGTAACTATGTAACCTTTAGAAGACATCTGAAGGAAGGTTTTTTATGTTTGATGTTTTATTATGTTTTTATATCTGTTGGAAGCTGCCCCGAATTTCTGGGGCAATCCACTCAGATGAGCAGGGTACAAATAATAAAATTATTATAATAATTATTAATAGTCTTAAAGCAACTCTGGCCCACCTGGAGATCCATGCCCTCCACCTGCCACCTGACGACTTCAGGTAAGACTTGAAGATCTGGCAACCATAAGTTGTTTTAAGCATTTATTTAATATTGTATTTTATGTTACATTTTCTTGTGTTTTAAGTGATCGTTGTAAGGTGAAGGGTAGGACAACAACAACAGAATAAATAAATCCGGAGGTGGGAGCAGGGTTTGTTAAGAGGAAAAGTGAGAGGAGATATAATAGCCATCTTCAAATATCTTTTTATTTATATATATGTATATATATATATATATATATATAATGTTTTTCGACATATTATTTTCAACAGTAATTAAACATACTTTCATATCTTATACCATTTTTTGACTTCCATCAATCAGATCTGAAAATTTTCCAGTCTATTCACTAAATATACATTTCTTACTTCCACAATTACATTTAACCCATAACTGATATCTCTATTCTTTCTCTATTTTGCCATGTTTCATACATTTCTCCTTACAAAACTTCTTGTAGTCCTAGTAGCGTAATTTGTTGATTACAATTGCTCTTCAAATAGTTTGTATATTTCTTCCAATCTTCTGTGAATCTCTGGTCCCGCAGGTTCCGAGTCCTTCCTGTCATTTTATCTAATTCTGCGTAGTCCATTAATTTTGTCTGCCATTCTTCCTTCGTTGGAAACCATCTTCAAATATCTTAAGGGCTGCCTCACGGAAGAGGGAACAAGCTTGTCTCCTCCTGATCTGGAGGGCAGTACTCGAACCCAGGACTTCCAAGTTGCAAGGAAGGAGATTCCGACTGAACATCAGGAAAAACTTTCTGACAGCGAGAACTGTTCCAAAGTGGAAAGGTCTCCCTCGCGAGGTGCTGGGCTCTCTCCTTCCTTGGAGGTTTCTAAGCAGAGGTGGGGGGGGGCATCTGCGATGGATGCTTTTAGCTGAGACTCCTGCATTGCAGGGGGTTTGTCTGGATGACCCTGGGGTGTCCCTCTCCCCCCCCCGCCACTCTGAGATCTTACGCTTCTGCCCGATAATAAATGTTGGAAATGTAGAGAAACTGAAGGTACATTCTTTCACCTTTGGTGGACGTGCCCAAGGATTAAGGTTTTCTGGGAGATGATTTATAATGAATTAAAAAAGGTATTTAAATATACCTTCTTGAAGAAACCAGAGGCCTTTCTCCTGGGCATAGTCGACCAATCGGTGTTAAAGAAGGACAGAACTTTCTTTATGTATGCTACAACAGCAGCAAGAATACTTACTGCAAAGCATAGGAAGACACAAGATCTACCCACACTAATGGCAGATGAAAATGATGAACTATATGGAATTGGCGGAAATGACTGGCAGAATCCAAGACCAGGGAGAAGAGTCGGTGGAAGAAGATTGGAAGAAATTTAAAGACTACTTACAGAAATATTGTAAAATTAATGAATGTTAGAATGATGACGGATTGAAGTTAAGCGGTTTCTAGCAGTAATGGTTAAAAGAATTGGAAAGATTGGTTTTTAATAGGCAAAAATTTAATGTTATAATATATTAAGATTAAAGATCAGGATTAAAAAGGAGGGAAAGGAATTGCTGGACTAACAAACTGAATTGGAATACAAAAGAGGGAGGTATGAGGAGGTCCGGGAATTGTTTTTAACTGTTTTTTCTTTTTTCTTTTTGTATTTTGTATTGTGTATTTTTCTTTTTATTGTTAATTTTTTTTTAATTAATGTGATCCTTTTCTTGTGAAATTTTAATAAATATCATTTAAAAAAAGAGAGAGAGAGATCCTACGCTTCTATGGAGGGCGCCACAGGTCTCTCCCGTCCGCCCCCCTCCCCTCCTGAATCCCGTGCATCAAGTGCGGCGGGGGGGGGGGCCTGAGTTCTCTCCAGGGTCCTCCTCTGCGGCAGGTGGCGCACTTTCCGCCCCTGCGGAGGCGGGGGGGGGGAGGAGGAGGGAGGAGGAGCGGGCTGAGCAGCTGAGCGCAGGCAGGCCGGGCTCAGGCTATGGCGTGGGCTGGAGGGTAGCAGGAGCGGCAGCGCAGCCCCCGCCGGAGTTTGCCCAGGTAAGGAGACGCGTGCATTGGATGCAAGGCGATGCGATGCGATGCAAACGCGCCTCGCCTTTCGCCTCCTTCCTTCCTTCCCCTCCCTCTCTCCCCCTTAGCAGCGACCCCTTCATTTTCTCTCCCTCCCCTTTCCAAGCCCATCTTTCTCATCCCGGCCCTCCCCCCTCCCAACTTCTGACAGAGACCCCCCCCAACCCACACACGCACCCCACCCCACCCCACCTCTCCCCCCAATCCAGCCCCTGCGCTCCCCTTGAAGTCTGGTTTTTTTGCAGAGAGGAATTTGCCTTTCCCCCCCTTCAAAAACAACAACACTCCCAACCCAACTCTGCTTCTATCTCTTTCTCCTTTAATTTTTAACACCCCCTTTTTTTCCTGCGGGCACACTTTCCTCCTCCTCCCCCTTCCCCACCCCCCCTCTTCTCCTCCCCCCACTCCACCACACCATAAATAAGAATAAATTGGCAGTCCCAGCCAGTGATTGCATCACTTCTTCTCCAGACAGGGGCCAATTCTGCTAGGAACTGGATCCTCTGCCGCTTCTCAGTGCGTCTTCCTGGGATTGCTCCTCCTGTCGTATTTTTACCCCCCTTTGAGTCTTATTTATCTCTCCCTCCCCCCGAAAAAAATGCACTTTCAGCCCTCTTCCCCCCCCCTTCCCAGTTCCTAGTCTGCTTTCCTCCTCTCTGACACAGTAGACAGGGGAGGCGACAGCAATGGAGACCTTGAACTGTTGTTTTGTTTGTCTGTTTGTTTGGGGGGGGGACTGCAATGGCTACTGGCTTTCCACCCACCCACCCGCTGTCAAAACCAGTTAGAGGCCGCAATTCTCAGTATTTCCAAGTCCATCCCCAAATCTCTCCCTCTTACTCGCACATGATTGAAATCTCAGTTCTGGCTTGCATTCCTTTATACCTCCTTCCCATGATATCCTGAACTAGAAGGCTTATATTTTTTTAAAGGTAAAGGGACCCCTGACCATTAGGTCCAGTCGTGGACGACTCTGGGGTTGCGGCGCTCATCTCGCTTTATTGGCTGAGGGAGCCGGCGTACAGCTTCTGGGTCATGTGGCCAGCATGACTAAGCCGCTTCTGGTGAACCAGAGCAGCGCATGGAAACGCCATTTACCTTCCCGCCAGAGTGGTACCTATTTATCTACTTGCACTTTGACGTGCTTTCGAACTGCTAGGTTGGCAGGAGCAGGGACCGAGCAACGGGAGCTCACCCCGTCGCGGGGATTCGAACCGCCGACCTTCTGATCGGCAAGTCCTAGGCTCTGTGGTTTAACCCACAGCGCCACCCAAGAGAGGGGAAATTCCACATTTATTTTACCCCCACCCCCACTCTGCAACACCCACAAACTGCCTCGCACCCCCCACACTTTTCCTGGAGCCCCTCACAATATTTATTTCTTCTTTTCTGCCAATTAATTTTTTCTGCTTTTCGAAAACCAGCATCAAATTCATTCAGATTTTCCCCTCGCAATATTTCGACGGGCCTTCCCTCCCCTCCTTCTCTGCTTTCACACACCCCACAGAGCTTCTCCTCTGCCCCCCCCCAGCCCCAGTTAGGAGTTTCACAGCCCCCCATCCCTCTTGCTCCACCTCAGAGACGTGTTGTTCCAAATCTGGCAGGTGTCTGTGGGCTGAGGGGTGCGTGTCCTCTGTTTCCGGAGTGCACTTTCGTTTTTGGACGCTTATTCCCCCGCCTATTATAATATTTTGGTGCTTTTTAGAACATTTCTGGTTTCCTCCTCTGCGTTTCTCACTTCCCGATACTCGGGGCAACACCTGGCATCTCTCACGCGGCCAACAGCTGCCGCAGATTTGTTTTATTGTTATGTATTGAATTTATATATGTCTCACTCCCCTTTCCCGTCTTGCCAGAGCTGAGCTGTATCCTCTGCACTCCGCTTCTGATGGAGGCGGTGCCGAGACCTCTTCCCAGCTCTCAGCATCAGAATAAAAGCAGCAGAGGCCAGCGGCAGGATCAGGCCTACAGCCCATCCAGTCCAGCAGGGGTCAACTCAGTGCCCCAATGGGAAACTAGCCAGCAGGATCCGTGCACAAGAGCACTGTCTGCCTTTCTGTGGTTTCTCACGCAACACGTTGGCCATTAATATACACAGAACAATAGTTATACATACTTTATCAACCTTCTGAGAAAAATGCAAAACATTAAACAAAGCCACAGAGACTTGCGAACTACCCAGCCTCAAATGAACTTATAATGTCTGCTTTCAATAGATTTTTCAAACGCTTAACTCCGTCTTTTAGATAAGTTTCAGCGTTTTGCACCTGTTTCGCCCTGGTAGTCCAAGTAATCAAGAGGCCGCTGTTTGCCCCGGATGGGGTCCTTTAAGTAGGGCTTGCAGGTAGCACACTCCCAAGATAGTTTTCCGGGCTTCTTCAGTGGTCTAATCTCAAAGTCTTGATACGTATATTGATATTCAGTCTTACAGAGAATACTCTTTCTTGGCTTAAGTTTAAGAGACTGATTTGCTTAGCCATTGGGGGTGAACAGCGGTCTCTTGATTACTTCGACTGCCAGGGCAAAACAGGTGCAAAACGCCAGCACCCTGTCTCTATCTACAACTCTACTAGCATCTCTCGGTATTGTGAATATCACTGAACTTACTTTTTGTTGGTATCTTCATGAACTTATCCAAAAGATTGAGTTAAGCATTTGAAAAATATACTGAAACCGGACATTATTAAGTTCATTTTAGGCTGGGTAGTCCGCAAGTCTTTGTGGCTTAACGTTTTGTATTTTTCTCAGAAGGTTGATAAAGTATGTATAATTATTGTTCTGTGTATATTAATCGCCGACGTGTTGCATGAGTTGCACTACAGCAGCAGCAACACAGGTTGCATTTTTCTAGCATTCCTGCGGTTTCTAGCAACTGGGATTTAGAAGCAGGGAGGTTATGGGATTCATAATGGCTACTAGCCTGCTCCTCCATCCATCTGTCTCATCATCTGAAAGCCATCCAAGTTGGGAGCCGTCTTCCTGCAGCTGTGAGTTCCACAGTTGCACGAATAAGTCCTTCCCTCTGTTTGTCCTGAAACTTCCCTTTTCAGCTTCAACAGGTGCCCCCCAAATTCTAGGGCTCATGAGATAAGGAGGAAAACTTTTCTCTAACTGCTTTCCCCCTCCGCCAGGCAGAATTCTATAAGCTTCTGTCCTGTCGCCTCGGTTCTCTAAACTGAAATCACTTAACTCCTATCCCCAGCAGTGGCATCTTGCCGTCTAATACCCAGATTAATATCTGGCCCGATCTGTTCCGTGGCTTCTCCCCAGACAGCTGTTGTCTCAGGAAAAATATTGGGGGCGGGGGGGTGGCTGCAGCTGCACAGAGAGCCCATTGTCGTTGTCCTCCAGCTGCGTGCGAGTTTCTTCTCTGCAATTTCTTTATTTCACTTATTCCATAAGATGCATTTATTTTATTTTTTAAATTTTTTTTTAATTTTTTAAAATTTTATTAAGTACAACTTAGAAAACATACATATTTACAACAAAAGAAAAAGAAAATACATATAACCAAGGAAACAAATTAGAGAATACTTTGTCTCTTTTCATATTTACAGTTATTTATACCTCTATAAAATGCTATTTACAATAAAGGAATGAAATGAAAGATAAGATATCAGAAAAAAAGAAAAAAAGAACAAAGAAAAAATAAAGAAGTAAAAGAAAAAGATCATAAGTGAAATTTTTAAAAAGTAGATAAGTATTCACTATACATTTATATGAATTTTTTTATTTGCCTTTGCTAGGAGTTTCCGAGACGGGATGCAGCAAATAGAAAATGCAGCTTTTGAAACAGGTTTTTTTTTAAAAAATAAAATGCAATTTTAAAAAATGCATAAAAGCCATTCCAAAAAAATGGAACGGCGTAATATAAATTCAGCAAAGGAGGTGGGTCGCTTTTCACAGAGGATGAGGTTTCTTCGCGCAGCGTGTTGTTAAACTGCAGAACTCACTGCTGCAGGGCCACCAACTTGGACGTGAGAAGATGGTGCTGGACTAGACCAGGCCATTGACCTGATCTGGTTGGCCACTGTGAGAACAGGATGCCTAACCCAGCTGGGGTTTGGGCCTGATCCTGAAGGGTTACTCTGAGGTTCTTCTTTCGTTAATAACGATACGATGAGGAAGATGATTGAGGAAGGGCAGGGGCGGTTGTTCTTAGTGGTTTCCTAAGGGGTTTTTGTACTTCTGCAAACCTCTGGGTTCTCCCCAGGTGCCTCAGCCTAACAAACGGCTGAGAGGGAAGAGGTTCAACAGCCGTGTTAGAACTCAGATATATAAGCCCGGTGCCAAATACAGTGGTACCTCGGGTTAAGAACTTAATTCGTTCCGGAGGTCCGTTCTTAACCTGAAACTGTTCTTAACCTGAAGCACCACTTTAGCTAATGGGGCCTCCTGCTGCCACTGCGCCGCCACCACGCGATTTCTGTTCTCATCCTGAAGCAAAGTTCTTAACCCAAGGTGCTATTTCTGGGTTAGTGGAGTCTGTAACCTGAAGCGTATGTAACCCGAGGTACCACTGTAGCTCCTTAAACCAAGGTTGCAGTCCCCCAAATTGACCGAGCAACGAACCGCCGACCTTCTGATCGGCAAGTCCCAGGCTCTGTGGTTTAACCCACAGGGCCACCTGCGTCCAAAATGCGCCTAGCGCCTGGCTAATTTCGAACACTGCCTGTTTGTGGAGTTCTTGGCTGCTTGGCCTGATCCAGCTATAGAACTCTCATGTAGAACCTCCAGGTCCAGAGTCAGTCTATCCTGGGTCCTTAGGGGCAATTGTCCACTGTGAGGACAGGACGCTGTGTTGATGGGCTCCCTTCAGCACTTTGCAAGGCGCAATTCAGGCCTCTTTTGCGTTGGCAGGATCCTGCTTTCTCTCTGGGTGCGAGGGAGCCTTCCTTTCGCCCTGTGCTCAGCAAGAAGCAGAACCGGGACTTCCCAGTTTCTTCCCCCTCCCTGGCTTCTGCTCAAAGAGGGTGTCGCCCACTCCGGTCACACTTCCCTTTCCCAGAGCTCTGGGAGTTTTCGCTTCCTCCCTCCTCCCTCACTTTCTCTGCTCTCATCCTGGCACCGCACGGGAAGTGCAAATTCTTCGCTCCCTTCCTGAGTTGGAAGGCAGCACTGAGTGTTCCCCCGCTGGCTGACACCCGCCCCCCACTTTCAGCAGTGCGATTATCACGCCTACGGTCCCGAGACTTCGGAGAGGTTTGGTGCCGGGGCCGGATCCTGCAGTATCCTGATGCTTCTCTGCATCAGACGGCTCGCTCCCTGCTCAGGAGAGTTGTTACAGCAGGGAGAGGGGCCGTTGAAGGCTGGATGTGGCCCTCCGGATCCCCTCTCCGGTCCTTGGGACCCTTCTCAGGCCACACCCCTCCCTAAGCCACGCCCCTCCCTGCCTATTAGCACCGCCCCCTGCCTAGAATGTAGCCTGTAATATGGAGCTGTTACTCTGCCCACAAGTGGCATGTGGCCTCCAGAACATTGCTTAGAAAGGATTGTGGCCCTCGGGCCAAGAACGCTTCCTCACCCTGTAGTTTGGGGGTGCTTATGGGGCATCCCCTACTCTCTTCCAGGATCACTTTCGCTCTGAAAGTTGGCCTAATTTTTCCCCTCTCTATATTTATGAATGCGCATATTGAAATATTACGGATGTTTTCGCCTGCGCCTTGAGGCTTTCGAGGAGCTGGCAGCCCCGCTGCTGTTTCAGGAAAGCGCCTTAGCTCAGTGGTTGAGCCCCTGCTTTGCTGGCAGAAAGTCTTCAACTCCCGGTGTCTCCAGGCAGAAATTTTCCCCAAAATCCTGGAGAGCTGCTGCCAGTCAGTGTATACAGTACTGCGTGACGTGGCTCAACTACCTGGCTTCCTGCAAGGCGGCTCCCTATACATTCTTTTGCTCAGATTCATGAGGACTAGAACCTTGTGTTGCTTTTTTTAGATAGAGGCTGCAGCTCAGTGTGTAGAGCTCTGCATGCAGGAGGTCTCAGCCTCCAACATCTCCAGGCCGGGCTGGGAGAGAGCACCACCTTGGAAAGGTGCTGCCAGCCAGTGCATGCGATATTGAGCTAGGTGGGCTAAGGGCCTGACTGTTGCATGCATTTTCCTGAGGTCCCGTGAGAAGGGAGCTCAGCCAAAGACTTTGAGTGGTGTTTTCGACAGCAATCTGGTGCATGGAAAAAGCGAACCAGGAACACCCGTCTCCTGATGTTTCCTGTTGTTGCGCTGGGTATCTGGATGGAGTTTTTTTTGTCTTGGGGGGAATGGATGGGGGACGGTTGTCAGAAGCAGAGTAGAAACAGCAGTTTTGCAGGGCAGCCGCTGCTTGTTTCCATTAACTGGCCTCCCAGGTGCTCCCTCCCTGCTGAACTGCATGTTCGGTGCTTGCCAATCCTTCTCCTTGACATGCTAGCTTTCTGCATGCAGGGGCTTTCCCTGTTCTATATGCATGCCTGCAGCATGGGAACATTAATAGAATCCTAGAACCGAAGCGTCGCAAGGGGCCTGAGAATCAACCCACTGCAATGCAGGAATCCCAGCTGAAGAATCTCCGACAGATCCTGCCTCTGTTGTTGTTGTTAATTGAATTTATATAATCTGTATATAATCTCCGGCACAGGAGAGCCCATCATTTTCAGAGGCAGTTCGTTCCACTGTCTGTTCAACAGGTCAGCTCCTCTTCCTCCCAAAAGTGGTACAGTCCGGGCAGGCCTTTGCTGAACTTTTCGCCTTTTAAGAGGACCAGAGAGAAAGCAGTTCTCTGGAAGGGGGCAGCGGAAGCAAAGGGACAGTTGACCCCACACCCTGATTTGACCCGGCCGTCAAATCCTGGTGGGCCTCCTCCTCGCAGGTCAAAATGTTGTTTAGAAACAAAAAAAGGCACTTCCTCAGGGGGAGTAGCGTGTTCCAAAGCCACCACAGCTGTGCCTGGAGGGGGGGAGATGGGACAGGGGACCTTTCACCCGAGTTGCGAAACAGCTTTTAACTTTCGCTTTTAGGACAGAGGGATCGTGAGCCGCGTGCTGCCGAGCCGTAAACCGGTGTGTGCGTCCGGTCTTCCCTCGATCGTAGTTGACAGGCGGAGAGGTACGTTGGGGGGCAGCGAGTGCGGGGCAGCCCTCGGCGGGCCTGATCCGGCTGCCTGCCTGGCTGCCTGTCTAACGGCATTGAGAGGAGCTATGTCCTTTCAAGGCCTCGTCCAGAAGAAAAATAAGGAGAATCGACTGCCCCCAACCTCGGCAGATGCTCCCCCAGCCCCAGAGCAGGCCGCCTCGCAAGGGCATCGCGTTCAGTGGGCACAGCTAGGTGGTGACAGAGGTGGGAGTCATGTGTGTGTGTGTGTGTGTTTTTGTGTGTGTGTGCAGCCAAATCTAAAAATAAACCGGCTGAGCATTGGAGGGAAGGCAGGAGAGACCAGCTCCTGCGTTGGAGGGCATTTGGGAAGAACACTGAACTCCTGAGCAGCTGGATATCAGCCAGGCGGGGAGTTGTGGGTGGGGGGCTCATCTAGGTCCACCTTTCCCGCGCTCCCCCCCCCCAATTTCTGTACAGGAGAGAGCAGCTGCGAAGGGAAGCGGTCAACCCATGCATTTATATGCATGCCATCTCAAAATGTGTTTTTTGCCATGTGTAAGGGGGAGTAAGATAAGGGGGGGTTTGCAAAAACCAACACACACCCCTGCAGCAACAACAAAGCATCTCTTCATTTGGGCCTTTGACCCTTGGCTATATTTTTCATTGAGGTGGCAAACCGGCGTCTTTGACGGGCACCAAGTTCAGGCGCATGGAGTTCCCGCAAAAGGGACGGTTCCCACGTGTGTTGATAATAATAATAAATTTTATTTATACCCCGCCCTTCCCAGTTCAGAAAACCAGGCTCAGGGCAGCTAACAACAAATTTAAAGCACTTAATTGTGATACAACAAAAAAACAGCACAAAATACAGTATAAAATCGTGAATAACAATAAATTCGAAGTTCTAAAATCAATTTGGAGGAACATTAGATGATCACCAGGACTAGCTGGCTAAATTAGTCCTATTTGGGCCAGCGAGGAGACCAGGGGAGAATTAGCTGTGGGATCCCAGAGCGCGTAATCTTCATAAAAAGGGGAGGGGGAGGGAAGGAAGGAGAATAAAAGATCAGGCTAAGTTCAAGTTGAAAGCCAGGTGGAATAGCTCTGTCTTACAGGCCCTGCAGAAGGAGGTTAAATCCTGAAGGGCCCTGGTCTCATGGGACAGAGCATTCCACCAGGTCGAAGCCATCACTCCGATGGGAGGCGAAGAATCCCCGCGCACGTGAAAGCTAGCATTTCTGGATGGAGGGCGTCGGAACAGTGCGACACTCCAACGTCATTTGACCCGGCAGCCAAGTTACAGCGGAGAAGTGCCGCCTTGCAAGTGCGGTCGCAGCAGGAAGCTCTTGATTTCTCCCTTCCTTCCTCTTTCCTCTCTCTCAGCACACAGATCTTGGGTCTGTAATATGCCTAAGAACAAGGTCATAGAAGCTGGAAGGGGTGGAATGAGACCGTACCACTTCAGGCTGGAAGTGGGAGGGGGCGATACCGCTTTTGAATGCTCCCACAGTTACTGATACCGTTTTTTTTAATTTTATATCCTGCAAGCAGAAAGCTAGCACATCAGGGTGGAAGGCTGGCTGCTATACTAGCTTTCTGCTTGTGGGAAGGTTCGAGGGCGTGATTTCCTTACTGTCACCTACATCTGGAAGTTGGGGGGGGCATTCTTACCATGGGCAACCATTCCAACCATGTTATAGCCAGTGTTTATGCTTGACTGTGTTTCTTGCTTGTCTGAATGCTGGACGGAGAGAGGTCTGAGAGTGAGTGCAGAATCTAGCCTGCTGTTGTCCCGCCCACTTTCGACCCTGGCCCCTCCCACCACCGCCCTGTGTCCCAGACCGCCACGCCCTCTCTGAGCATGTGCAGAGTTGTCACACCGCGCCCCCCCCCAAAAAAATTAGCACAGAGGTCGCCTGCAGGAAGTGGCGTTCATGGCAAGTCCCTCTTGGGATTTTTTAAGAGCTGTGAGTTGCACCCAGTTCCTCCTCTTTGCTTCCGTAGCCCCAGCACCCGTTTCCTCCTGAAAAAGCCCCCGCCCTACGGGTTCCACCATATCAGCAGAAACGTGAGGGCTGACATCTCCTTCTTCAGCTTCCTCCTTCCCCTTTCGACCTCAGAAACCCAGATAGACACGCAAATACACAAACACATATACACACATATGAACGCCCACACACAAACCTTTCTCGCTCTCTCTATATATACTCTGCAGCTGTGAATTATTATTATTATTTTATTGTTATAACTTACACACCACCCTTCACCGGGTTAAGACAATTTAAAGGTAAAGGGACCCCTGACTGTTAGGTCCAGTTGTGGCCGACTCTGGGGTTGCAGCGCTCATCTCGCTTTACTGGCCGAGGGAGCCGGCGTACAGCTTCCAGGTCATGTGGCCAGCATGACTAAGCCGCTTCTCGCGAACCAGAGCAGTGCACAGAAATGCCGTTTACCTTCCCGCCGGAGCGGTACCTATTTATCTACTTGCACTGGTGTGCTTTCGAACTGCTAGGTGGGTAGGAGCAGGGACCGAGCAACGGGAGCTCACCCCGTCACGGGGATTCGAACCGCCGAACCTCTGATCGGCAAGCCAGTGGTTTAGACCACAGCGCCACCCGCGTCCCTAAAACAATTTAAAACACAACGTTTTTAAACATTTTTAATTGCTTTTAAAGACAATTTAAAACACGTTAAAAACAATTTTGAAAAACTGAATAACTACAGAAATGCACGATCACACAGATGCCCCATTAATAAAAATAACGACACCTAATGAAAAGTCACAAAAGTTCGCGCAATTGCCTATCCTAGGTTTAGATCTCCAGTCTTTTTGCATTTGAAATCATCAGAGACAGAGAAGGGGTCAGGAACCCCACCCTTCCCAGAGGCCTTCTCCAATGTTTGTCTCGAGACTTTGGGTGCTGTGGGTGGGTGACCACTTCTGGCCAGGGTGCGTCCACCCCCGCAGGACACATCGCCGGTTTTCATTCTTTTAGGGAAGTTTTCTACAGACCACTTTCCTTCGAGGATGGCAGAATCGAGGACTGCGCCTAACGCAGACCAAATCGGTCAGTCGCCTTGGGGGAAGGCCTTTGGGGGGTGATGGTTTTTGTCACCGCTGGCACGGCAGAGGCTCCTGGCTGGCCTCCTTCCCTCGGGACAGCTCCTGAAACACTTCCGTTTCACTGCCCTGCCGGTTTGTTTCGCTGGTTCTGGCGTTAGGAGAGACGGGGACACGACCCAAGGCTGTAAAATGGCGCACAGCAGAGAGGAATTCTCCCTCCCTCTCTCATAAGGCCACAACCCGGGGGCATCTGATTCAGAACAGGTAAAAAGGCTGTCCTTCTCTTATCTGTTCGACGGCGGAACTCCCTGCCACAGAAGGCAGGGTGGCCGCCATTTTGGATGGCCAAGGCAGAGTCTGACCCCCTCCTTTGGTAATCCTCATAGAACTCTAGCCCAATGGTTGCCATTACAGTGGTACCTTGGGTTACATACGCTTCAGGTTACACACTCCACTAACCCAGAAATAGTGCTTCAGGTTAAGAACTTTGCTTCAGGATAAGAACAGAAATTGGGCTCTGGCGGCGCGGCGGCAGCAGGAGGCCCCATTAGCTAAAGTGGTAAAGGTAAAGGTAAAGGTACCCCTGCCCGTACGGGCCAGTCTTGACAGACTCTAGGGTTGTGTGCTCATCTCACTCTAGAGGCCGGGAGCCGGCGCCGTCCACAGACACTTCCGGGTCACGTGCCCAGTGTGACATCGCTGCTCTGGCGAGCCTGCACCAGCGCAGCACACGGAACGCCATTTACCTTCCCGCTATAAAGCAGTACCTATTTATCTACTTGCACTTTTAAGGGTGCTTTCGAACTGCTAGGTGGGCAGGAGCTGGGACCGAACGACGGGAGCTCACCCCGCCGCGGGGATTCGAACCGCCGACCATACGATCGGCAAGTCCTAGGCACTGTGGTTTTACCCACAGCGCCACCCGCGTCCCACAGCTAAAGTGGTGCTTCAGGTTAAAAACAGTTCAGGTTAAGAGCAGACCTCCGGAACGAATTAAGTACTTAACCCGAGGTACCACTGTAATTTGATTCTGAATTGATTTTAGAATGAATTGATTTTAGAATGTATTTCAGTTAATTGATTGTGATTTTATGTAAACTGTGTTACTTTTATTGTTGTTAGCCACTCTGAGCCCAGCTTCAGCTGGGGAGGGCGGGATATAAATAAAATTTTATTTTATTATTTTATTATTACAGTCATACCTCGGGTTGAAGTAGCTTCGGGTTGAGCATTTTCGGGTTGCGCTCCGCGGCGACCCAGAAGTAACGGAGCGTGTTACTTCCAGGTTTCCCCGCTCGCACATGTGCAGACAATCAAAATGATGTCATGCGCAGAAGCGGCGTATCGCGACCCGTGGACGCGGGTTGCGTTTGCTTCAGGAGGCGAACGGGGCTCCGGAACGGATCCCATTCACATCCAGAGGTACCACTGTATTATTATTTTAGAAGAGAAATTCATGGAGGAGAAGCCTAGCGATGGTACATGATGGCCATTCTCTGCCTCCACAGGCTTCCTGTCTCTCGCGCCGCGGCAACGGGCCTCCGAACATTCTGCGCAGGCCGCCATTGGCTGGGAGCATCCGGGGAGGCGGGGCTTCTCACGCGGCTCTTCTTCATATTCCCCTGTTGCAGATGCCGTGAGCCGCCGCCATGACGGACGAGTGGGCCCCACAGCTGGTGGACTACTTTGTGGTGGCCGGCTTGGCGGACACTTCAGCGCCGCTGGAGGATGAGAGCCAGCCGCCTCGCCCGTCCCGGCCCAGCGAGCCCATCGTGGACGTGGCCGTCATCGTGCGCTCTCAGGGCGAGGAGGTGCCTCACGGCTTCACCTGCATCGACCGCACCACCTCCGGGAACCCCGTGGAGCTCAACGCCGGGCTGCTCAACAACCCCCAAATGTACATCTGCTACAGGAGGGGCCGGGACAAGCCCCCCATTGTGGAGCTGGGGTAGGTGACTGTAGTGCGTTTTACGTAGGGCCACCTCTGAAGACGGTTCGGAAACTTCAGCTGGTGCAGAATCCGGAGCAAGACGGTTTTAGCATATTGCATTGATCCCGGTCTGACTGCACTGGCTACCGATCAGTTTCCGGGCCCAATTCCAAGTGCTGGTTTTGACCTATAAAGCCTTAAATGGCTCAGGAACACAATACCTCAAGGACTACCTCTTTCCATATGAACCTACCCGGACCCTGAGATCATCTTCTGAGGCCCTCCTTTGTGTGCCTCCTCCGAGAGAGGTCAGGAGGGTGGCAACTTGAGAACGGGGCCTTCTCTACAGTGGCTCCCCGTCTGTGGAATGCTCTCCCCAGGGAAGTTCGCCTGGCGCCTTCATTGTACACCTTTAGGCACCAGGCAAAAATGTTCCTTTTTAACCAGGCCTTTGGGTGATCTGATTTACATCTTACGCCCTTTTAAACGGTGCTTTTTTGAGGGGAGGGTCTGTTGTGGTGGTGGTGGTGTTGTTATTTTTATTAGGTATTTTGTGTTTTAGTTCTTGATTTTATTCTGTGAACCGCCCTGAGACCCCTGGGTATAAAGCGATAAATACTGTATTTTTCCGTGTATAACACGCCCCCAACTAATCGCCCGTCCCACATATGCACTATCCATGTATAAGATGCGGACCCCCCCCCCCCGATTTTTAACATTATTTTAGAGCAGCCTTTCTCGACCTGTAGGTCCCCAGATGCTGTTGAACTACAACTCCCATCACCCCTAGCTAGCAAGGCCAGAGCTCAGGGATGATGGGAGTTGTAGTCCAACAACATCTGAGGACACACAGGTTGAGAATTGCTGTTTTAGAGTAAAAAAAAACCTCGTCTTCTACACAGAAAAGTACGGTAAATTCAATAAATAGTAATAGGTTGGGAGACAGTTGGGAGAGCATGATACTCCTCATCTCAGGGTCATGGGTTCGAGCCCCACGTTGGGCAAAAGATTCCTGCATTGCAAGGGGTTGGACTAGATGACCCTGGGTGTCCCTTCCAACTCTGCAAATTCGCAGAGAAAGCTATCGACAGCTATAGTCTCGGGTGGCTGTGTTCTGCCTCCACTGTCGCTTCTGAATACCAGTGGCCGGGAATCTCAAGGCAGGGAGTCCTCCTTGAGAATTTCCCAATGGTTGTCCATTGTAGGCTTGGTGAGCCCCTGGCCTCTTCTGATGTCCTTAGGTAGGGTGGTTGGTTGGGTATGTGGGCGTTCAGCACGCATGAGATGGGCCCCAATATATTTCAGAATGCCTTTCCCCTTATGAAAGCACACGGACCCTGTTAGATATTCATCTGAGGCCCTCTCCCCTTCTTGAGAGAGGTTGGCAACAAGGGACGGGGCCTTTTCAGTGGTGGCACCCTGCTTGTGGAAAGCTCTCCTGAGAATAACGTCCTTTCAGATCAGGGCAATTTGCTGTCTGGTATGTTTCCCACTGAGCTCCTTGGAGGAAAACGGAGCTATAAAATGGAAAACGATCGCAGTCCCAACCAAAGAAGAATGGCAGCTTAAGTTGACAGAATATGCACAATTTGCAGACTTGACATATAGAATAAGAGAACAAGGAGAACATATCATTAAAGAAGATTGGAAAGCATTTATTGAATATATGGGAAATAATTGTGTACAGCTAAAAACGCTGGCAGCGTTAAGATAACTTCAACAGAGTAAATTGATGGATGCAATAACGGAAAACCGATTGTTATAGTTTTTGTAAAACATGCAGGGATTTAAGATATGTAAAATGAACCGTGGAAAGAGGAGAAGGGAAGTCGTTGCCATCTTAAGGATGTAAAATGTTTATTTGAAATTCTAGAACAGGAAATTTAATAAGAATTATATTAAGAAAATAAACGGAGCTGTAAACACGATAAATAAAGGGAAAACATGGAACTGAGAGTACCGCAAAGGACAGGTCCTTAGAATCGTATCGTTGGTAGGGGGCTCCAGGGGTCATCTAGTCCAACCCCCCGCAATCCCTATTCCTCATAGTGAAACGCACACTCTCTTTTGCCGTTTGCCTAGGGTGCACTACGACGGAAAGGACCACCCGAAGCCCGGCTACAAAATCATCGACACGACTCCCTATAGCCATTCGGCTAACCTGGCCTCGGGAGCCCCCGGACACCAGCGCACCTTCCTGACCTACCGGCGAGCCAGCGAGAGCCAGGCCTACAGCACGCTGGGCATCACCGACATCTGCCTTATCATGCCCAGCAAAGGGGAGAGCCTCCCACACACCTTCTGCCGCGTGGACCGGAACCTCAACGCGGGCATGGTGAGTACCGGAGCTCAGCTGCTGCCCTGGCGCAGTGGCAGAACTCATGGCTTTGTACCCAGGAGGTCCCTGGTACGGTCCCTGGCATCTCCAGGGAGGGCTGGGGGTTCCTTCTCCTCTCCCATCTGAAATCCTGAAGTGTGGCTGTCAGTCAGTTCAGGCATTACTGATCTGGACGGAGCAACGAGCTGACAAATTACCCCAGCTCCGCTCAATTCCTGTTTTGTCCTTTATTCATAGAATTGTAGAGTTGGAAGGGACCACCAGGATAATCCAATCCAAGTCCCCTTCAATGCAGGAATCCTTTGCCGAATGTGGGACTCGAACCCACAACCCTCAGATTAAGAGTCTCATGCTCTGCCAACTGAGCCATCTCATTGCTCAGAACCAGGAGGGCTGGAACCTTCCTGTAGGGGAAGGCAGCAGAGTGCAGAAGGTCCCAGGATCAGTCCCTGGCGTTTCCAGTTGAAGACCCAGGGAGCAGATCATGGGGAAATTTTTCCTGCTCTTCTTGAGACTCTGGAGAGCAGCTGTCAGTCAGTGTAGCCAACATTAGGTTAGTTGGACAAATACCCTTGACTTAGTCCAAGCAGATTTCTCTGTTCCCGAGGCTGCTTTTTCTGTGGTCCAGCCAATTGCTTTCCTCCACCTTTTCTTGCCTATCTCTTTTATGCAGTGGGGACCAGCCCTCTACATCTGCTACAAGATGGCGTTGGCAAAAGGGAACACTCTGGTTTACCAAGCAGGTATGTCTCGGACAGAGGACACGGGGCTCTTGGGGGCCTTATTGAGCTCCCTGTGTGTGTTGACTTATCGTTTTTAAGAAACTGCCATCCTGTCGCCCGGCTCTAACACAGGGGCAGGGGGACATTTGGCCCTCAAGGTGCCAGTGGATTATAACTCTCCTCCTCTCCACCAAGGATGCTCTGATCAAAGCACTGTAGCTCAGTGTCAGAGCATCCGCTTTGCCTCCAGAAGGTTCCAGGTTCAATCCCCAGCCTCTCCAGAGAGAGCCCCCTGCCTGAAACCCTGGAGAGATGCTGCCAGTCCGTGCAGGCAATACTGAACCAGGTGGATCAGTGATTGGAGCACTCGCTTTATATTGCCAGCTTGTCTTGATATACAAGGTGTGAACGGAAAGTTTGGTGAACGGTCACAGAAATCGGACAGCGAGAAATATTCAAACATAATCAGTCGGCATCGGAAACCCACAAAATGCTCACAATTGTGTAGGGAGATGAAGCTGTAACTCGAAAGACAGTGTGTGAGTGGTTTAAGTGTTTCCATGAAGGGTGGCAAACCATCGAAGACAACCTTCAGTCTGGCAGACCGTTGACAAGCAGAACGGCGGCAAATGTCGACAGAGTTTGTGAGTTATTGATGTGGGAACCACATTTGTCCGTCCGAATGATGGTGGAAGAATTTCATTATTTTTTTTTAATGATTTTTATTAAGGTTTCAATAAAAAGTTAGACAGAAAAACATAAAAATAGAAGTACAAAAATACACAATACATAATCCAAACAGAGAAGGAAAACACAGAAAACAAAATACAAAAAAAAACCAAAAAAAACCCAGAACAATTAAAAACAATATCACTTTTCCATTTCCGTTTTTGAATTTACTTATTTTCTGGACTTCCTCATACCTCCCTCTTTTGTATTCCAGTTCAAATTATTTGTCCAGCAATTTCTTTTCCACTTTTTTAATCCCAATCTTTAATCTTAATATAATATATAATACTTAAACTTCTTTAATCCTAATCTTTAATCTTAATGTAATATAGCATTAAAATTTTACCTCTTAAGTACCAAATTTCCATTTCCTTAAACATCTTTAATCCTAATCTTTAATCTTAGTCTATCAATAACTTTAACCTGTATAGCTGGAAACCACTTATTTTCGATCCAACATCACTCTAACATTCTTTGATGGTGGAAGAATTTCATATTCCGCATGAAATCGTTACTGAATTGTCCCACCCTCCATATTCTCCCAATCTGGCCCCACCGAATTTCTTTCTTTTTCCAAAACTGAAATCTTCGCTGAAAAGGCACTGATTTTCCAACATTCCAAACGTCCAAGCTGTTGTGACGAGGGAACTGAAAGCAGTACAAAAAGAGGACTTCTCCAGAAGTTTCCAATGGCTCTACGAATGTTGTCAATGGTGCATTGTATCAGAGGGGGCCTACTTTGAAGGCCTGTAAGGCATGTATGTTCTCGCTGTCTGATTTCTGTAACCATTTACCAAACTTTCTGGTCACACCTTGTATATTGGCCGCCACAGTGGAGTTGGTCCTGATTTTTGAGAAGCGTCCCTGTCGGGAGAGATGGCGTGGGGGGAGGATGTAGGATGCTGAGAGCTTCTCAGGTTAAAACCAGCACCGTGACACTGGGCCTCAAAGCCTGTGAACTCAGGCAAAATCTGATTGCACCTCCCCAAGGTCCCAAAGGAGTCGCAGAAACATCTGAGTAGTCTTCAAGGGCAAGCCCCAAGTAGTGCAGAATGCAGTAGTCAAGCCTGAAGGTTGCAGGGAATCATGGATCAGTGGAGCAGGATCCCCTCTTCCTCTGAATGGGTAGACCCTGAGGGATAAAGTTAAAGGGATCCCTGACCATTAGGTCCACTCGTGGCCGACTCTGGGGTTGCGGCACTCATCTCGCTTTATTAGCCAAGGGAGCCAGCGTACAGCTTCCGGGTCATGTGGCCAGCATGACTAAGCCGCTTCTGGTGAACCAGAGCAGCGCATGGAAACGCCGTTTACCTTCCCGCCGGAGCGGTACCTATTTATCTACTTGCACTTTGACATGCTTTCGAACTGCTAGGTTGGCAGGAGCAGGGACCGAGCAACGGGAGCTCACCCTGTCATGGGGATTCGAACAGCCGACCTTCTGATCGGCAAGTCCTAGGCTCTGTGGTTTAACCCACAGCGCCACCCGCATCCCTTACCCTGAGGGATAGTTGTAATTAATTGACGGGGAGGGACCGAAACAGCTTCCTCCCATTTGTCTTCCCCTTCCAGGTCTCCTTAGTCGCTACCCGGAGGAGGACAATGAGGCGTTCCCGTTGCCGGAGTCCGTGGCTGTTTTTTGCCTGCCCATGGGGGCGACCATCGAGAGCTGGCCGGCCGACACAAAATACCAGCTTCCTGTCTTCTCCACCTTTGTGTTGACCGGGGCTTCAGGAGACAAGGTAGTCGGATTGCAGGATGGTGGGAACTACTTTTGGTCAGAGAACCTGGGGTGGGTGATAGATAGATGATAGATAGATAGATAGATAGATAGATAGATAGATAGATAGATTTATTACGGTCAAAGACCAGCTCGCATAACACAATATAAACAGTGTTCATAAAGATACAATCAGAGCAGATTGCAGCAATAGCTCATGAGTTAAAATTGAGATATATACATACCCCCGTACAACTGAGATTTAAAGGTAAAGGGACCCCTGACCATTAGGTCCAGTTGTGACCGACTCTGGGGTTGCGGCGCTCATCTCGCTTAATTGGCCGAGGGAGCCGGCGTACAGCTTCTGGGTCATGTGCCCAGCATGACTAAGCTGCTTCTGGCGAACCAGAGCAGCGCACGGAAATGCCGGTTACCTTCCCACCAGAGCGGTACCTATTTATCTACTTGCACTGGCATGCTTTCGAACTGCTAGGTTGGCAGGAGCAGGGACTGAGCAACGGGAGCTCACCCTGTCACGGTCATTCGAACCGCCAACCTTCTGATCGGCAAGTCCTAGGCTCTGTGGTTTAACCCACAGCACCACCCGCGTCCCTACAACTGAGATTTGGGCTACCATAAAAATTGACCCTGAGGCACCCCAAAGGGCGACTTCAGCATTTCCCTAGTAAGCTATTTTATTCTAGAGGATGATCCATGCCTACAAATCTGGGCGCAGAATCTGGCTACTAGCCAGGTCGACTCAGTTTGACTCAGTTCCCAGAACCAGACTCTGGGACAAGCTTTGGGCCACTACCATCGATAGAAGCCTACTATAATTCAGGTAGTACATTCAAATACGGCCCTGGGAGTCAGGTGCAGCCGGCTAGGGCACTTAACAGACCCCATGAAAACATTTAAGGGTGTTAGGCAAGGATGCCTTTTTGGCCCCTTTATTATTTAATTTTTATTTAAATAACCTGGTAACCACTCTCCATAACCTCGACTACCACCCTCTGAAGTTAGCAAACCAGCACATCACAGCTCTTCTTTACACAGACGACGCGGTAATACTATCCAGAACCCCCAGAGGGCTTAAAAAGTTAAAGGGACCCCTGACCATTAGGTCCAGTCGTTACCGACTCTGGGGTTGTGCGCTCATCTCGCTTTATTGGCCGAGGGAGCCGACGTACAGCTTCCAGGTCATGACTAAGCTGCTTCTGGCGAATCAGAGCAGCGCACATCCCACCGGAACGGTACCTATTTATCTACTTGCACTTTGACGTCCTTTTGAACTGCTAGGTTGGCAGGAGCAGGGACCGAGCAACGGAAGCTCACCCCGTCGTGGGGATTTGAACCGCCGACCTTCTGATCGGCAAGTCCTAGGCTCTGTGGTTTAACCCACAGCGCCACCGGCATCCCATAGGGCTTAGAAGAGCACTAAGAAAATTAGCTGCCTATTGTGAGACGGAATGTCTGGGGTGAGTGATATCACCTCTCAGGGAGCAATCGGATATTTGGGATAGAGGGCTGTGCTACTTGGCAGGACTGTACCAACTTAGTGCATGCGTGTGGGTTTTGTTGCAGACAGGTTAGGGCAAGTCTTTGTTTTATTTGGGTGCTTCGGCAACAGAGGTGTCTGGCAATCTACATGAAAAAATGGTTTTTTAAAAATGATTGGTTGGTTGCATTTATCACCTCCCTCTCCTGCCAAAGGAGCCCCGGGTGGCAAACAACAAATAATAAAAACATATTTAAACATCATAAAAACATTTCCAATGAAGATGCAAACTAGGAAAGATCTCAACTTAAACGTGACAAAAAACATGAATCACAGCCCAAAAACTAATAGGCAGAGAGTTAACAACCTATAAAAACAGTCTTTAGAAGACCAACGTCATAGGGTGGATCTAAAAACATTCAAATTACAGAGTCTTGGAAATCTTTAAAAGACCAGCAAGTGAGCTATTCTGGTTAGTGTTCATTTTTCATGTTAGCATCAATATGTGTGCACAGCATGGCAATGGGCAAACAAGTCTGCAGATGTCCCGCACACATAACACACCTATAAACATAACAGTGGCAAATACCCTTTGTTTGGCCAGATTGACAACAATAAGAATTGGCCAGATTGACAACAACAGATTTTTGGGCATTAAATTACAAGAGGATCTGTCCTGGAGTGTCAACACAAGGGGGCTTGTGAAGAAGGCGCAGCAGAGACTGTACTTTTTGAGAATACTAAGGAAAAACCATCTTCCGCAGAAACTGCTGCTTGCCTTCTATCACTGTGCCATTGAGAGCGTGCTCACTTATGGCTTATGTGTGTGGTACGGAAGCTGTACTACCCAGGACAGGATGGGGTTGTGCAGGGTTGTTAAGGCAGCAGAGAGCATTGTTGGCTGCCCACTCTCCACCTTAGAGCAGATTTATGCCACAAGGTGCCATAGGAAGGCACTGGACATAGTAAAAGATCCATCGCATCCTGGTCACTGTCTCTTCGAGCTCTTGCCGTCGGGACGGAGATACAGGACGATGAAGACAAGAACGAGCCGTCTTAAGAACAGCTTCTTCTCCAGAGCGATCTCGGCCCTGAATGGGAAGCCCGGACTTTGAAAGTCATCTAATCTCCCTTGCTGTATTATACTGTATTGATTAATTAGTGTTTTTATGGAGCAGTCAAGTAATTTCGTTGTCCCCGAAGGGAGCAATGACAATAAAGATATTATTATTATTATTATTATTATTATTATTATTATTATTATTATTATTCTCCCTGTTCTCCTGAGATTCCTTTCCAGGTCGCCTGGAGTTACTCCTCACTCACCCCAGGTGAGCGACTGATTCACCAAGGTTTCACAGTGCTCTGACCTTCCTCCTTCCCTTCTTTGGCTTCTCTTGCTCTCACTCCCAGGTGTACGGCGCTGCCATCCAGTTCTACGAGTCCTTCCCGCGGGAACGCCTCTCGGAGCGGCAGTGCATGTGGCTGAACCTCCTCACCGTCGTCGACCGGCGCCCCATCACCAGCAAATCGGTGCAGACACGCAAGAGCATCTGCGTCCTGTCCCACTGGCCCTTTTTTGACGTCTTCCGGAAATTCCTCACTTTCCTGTACCGCTACAGCATCTCGGGGCCTCACGTTCTTCCGCTTGAGGCGTAAGTTGGGGATGCGGCCAATAGGATTGGGGCCTCTCTGTGTGGTTGTGAGGCCTGAAACGTAAGCAGAAACTTAGCTAGATAACGGCCACAGCTCCCTCTAATCTGATATGGTAGATGGCAGAATGTCTCGCCAGAGTGGCGCATGCTCTATTTATCTCCAGCCTGGACTACTGCAATGCTCTCTGTGTGGGGCTACCTTTGAAGGTACCTTTGAACTACAACTGATCCAGAATGCAGCAGCTAAATGGTGACTGGGAGTGGCCACCGAGACCACATAACACCAGTCCCGAAATACCTACATTGGCTCCCAGGACGTTTCCGAGCACAACATTTAAGGCCCTAAATAACCTCGGCCCAGTATACCTGAAGGAGCGTCTCCACCCCCATCGTTCTGCATGGACACTGAGGTCCAGCACCGAGGGACTTGTGGCAGTTCCCTCAGAAGTGAGGTTGCAGGGAACCAGACAGAGGGCCTTCTCAGCAGTGGCGCCCGCCCTGTGGAACGCCCTCCCATCAGATGTCAAGGAAATAAACAACTATAAACAACTCCCACAAGTATAATAATAATAATAATAATAATAATAATTATTATTATTATTATTTATTTATACCCCACCCATCTGGCTGGGCTTCCCCAGCCACTCTGTGCGGCTTTCAACAAAATATTAAAATACAGTAATGCATCAAACATTAAAAGCTTCCCTAAACAGGGCTGCCTTCAGATGTCTTCTAAAAGTCTGGTAATTGTTGTTCTCCTTGACATCTGATGGAAGGGCGTTCCACAGGGCGGGTGCCACCACCGAGAAGGCCCTCTGCCTGGTTCCTGGTAACTTGGCTTCTCGCAGTGAGGGAACCGCCAGAAGGCCCTCAGAGCTGGACCTCAGCGTCCGGGCAGAACGAGGGGGGTGGAGACGCTCCTTCAGGTATACTGGACCGAGGCCGTTTAGGGCTTTAAAGGTCACCACCAACACTTTGAATTGTGCTTGGAAACGCACTGGGAGCCAATGTAGGCTATCCCTGTCCAGATAGGGGCGTAGCTGGGCCACCAGCCGAAGCTGATGGAAGGCACTGCGACTTTAAAGGAGGAATAGACAAATTCCTGGAGGAGAGGGCTCTGTGTTTTCTAGCCACAATGTTTATACTCTTGCCCCCACAGCTGGAGGGCAGTAATGCTTCTGAATCAGGCGGATCATTGGCCTGATCCAGCAAAGCTCTTCCTATGCCTGTAAGCTGCTGTTACAGGGCAGAGATGGTGATTGTGGTTTTATTTGGTGTGTGTGGGTGTGGAAGGGTGTTCTTCTTCCCTGTGACTTCTCTGTTGCTCTTTCCAGGCACATCTCTCATTTCATGCACAATGTCCCCTTCCCATCTCCACAGCGGCCTCGGATCCTGGTTCAGGTAAGCAGAAAGTGGAGGAACCCAGAGCCTTTGCTCATCCTGTTGTTGGCAGTGGGGGGGGAAGGGGTTGTAGGTCGCACCTTCCCCGGGTGACGGGGAATCCGCTGGGCAATTCCATTGTGTTAGCAGTAGTGTTGTAGCAAACTCAGAGGTGCACGCTGCCTTCATAATAGTCACAACCGCACTTCCTTGCCACTGTACCCCCTTCTAAGATTATGCATAAATATGCATTGTCGTCGTTGTTGTTATTGTTATATTATTTCAATTTATATAATGCCCAGGAGGTCCCAGGACGGTGCACAACATTATAAAAACACATTACAGAGCATCAGTGATAAAAACATAATGAAAAGCATACCAACAGACAGCCTAATAATAAAATAGTCATCATGATAACAGTCCTTTCCCCCACGGTTTCACAGGCCATAGATCAGGCATAGGCAAACTCCGGCCCTCCAGATGTTTGGGACTACAATTCCCATCATCCCTAGCTAACAGGACCAGTGGTCAGGGATGATGGGGGTTGTAGTCCCAAACATCTGGAGGGCCGGAGTTTGCCTATGCCTGTGAGAGATGGCCATCGGCCTAGGTAAAGAGGAATGCCTTCGCCTGGCGCCTAAAGACATGTAGTGGTGGCACCAGGTGAGCCTCTCTCATCAATTGGGGAGCCACCACAGAAAAGGCCCTCATAACTAGGGATGTATTGGAACAATCAATGTAGATCTCTATGTGTTTGCCTTTCAGTTAGGTTTACTATTTTCTCCACATCCAATGATTTGGACTGCTCCAATATCTTATCATGTTGTGTTTTCCTTGAAGTTCCACTGTACACAATGGAACTTGCCTGTCGTCCTCTTGAAACTGAAGCACCTTGAGATTTCAGTGTTCCTGAATCCTTAGCTTTGGAGCATACATTACATCTCCTCCTCGGTGTTCTTCCTGCACTCCTCCAGAGTGACCCTGGGAGCCGATCCTCAGGGGCTGTCTTACCTCTTTCCTCTCCCGATTGGCTCTAAACAGTACAAAGGGTGAGGAGACTTCTTCTCATTGGCTTAAAACAGGCATGGCCAAACTTGGCCCTCCAGCTGTTTTGGGACTACAACTCCCATCATCCCTAGCTAACAGGACCAGTGGTCAGGGATGGTGGGAATTGTAGTCCCAAAACAGCTGGAGGGCCAAGTTTGGCGATGCCTGGAGCCTTAAAAGCTCCCCTTTTCATGCTGGTTGGGTGCCTCTAGGGTGCTGTGAATTGACGGATCCTGCTGCTGAAATAGCAATGGGTCTTTGACTCCCCTGCAACCCTAGACCGCTACACCTCTGTCTGTCAGGCAGCTGAAGAACAAGCCATTGGTCAAGCCAGGACCTTCTACGTAATAACCATTTGCTCAACTCCGAGTGATGCTTGAAGAGAGGCCCTTAGCTCTTAGCTGGTCAGTCAGGCTGCCTTGCATTAAGAAGATGCCAGGCATCTCCAGTCAGACCAGGAATTGTCCCCTGTCTGAAACCCTGGAGAGCTGTGCTGCCAGTCTGTATAGGAAATTCTGAGCTGGATATATATATATTGAAAGTATAAAACTAGGAATCTGAAGATTATGGTTCATCTGGGGCGGAGGATTGAGAAGTGACCTCCGACCTCTGATGGACATGCATGTTTTGCAGTACAGTGGTACCTCGGGTTACAAACACTTTGGGTTACAGACTCCGCTAACCCAGAAATAGTACCTCGGGTTGAGAACTTTGCTTCAGGATGAGAACAGAAATCGTGCAGCAGCAGCAGGAGGCCCCATTGGCTAAAGTGGTACCTCAGGTTAAGAACAGTTTCAGATTAAGAACAAACCTCCGGAACGAATTAAGTTCGCAACCAGAGATACCACTATAATCTAGGTGTTGCGCTAATAAAGGACAAGTTTTGGTCTGTGCTGCTGATTGTTTAAGCTGTATCTAAAGCTGTGTTTTCTCTTTAACAAATCACTCAGGAGTCAGTTCTTCTCTTCCTCTCCCCTCTCCCTTCTTTTTGCCTGTCCAGATGTCTTCCTACGATAACATGCTCTTGTGCCAGCCTGTTTCATCTCCTCTGCCACTCAGGTATGCTCTTCTGACGTTATGAGATCTGCTGCTAACTTAACTCCGGTTTCGCCCAAGGGAACTTCTGCCTGGACCAGCGTGTCGTGTGAAACTACGGTCTGGCTCATGCGGGACCATGTTCAAAGTGTAACTCTTAGTATATAAACAGCTTGGGATGAGTTTGCCTGTGAGATCGATTTATCCCACGCATGCCTACTTGACCACTGCAATCTGAAGAACTGGGGCTGTTGCAGGTGCCACGAAATACCACTATGTGTTTATAATAAATTGATATATCATCGTCGCAGCACGCAAACCTTGGAACTCCCTGCCTATTGACAAGCACCTTTGCTAGATTCCTTTCAGTGCCTGCTTAGGAATGCTTTAAGGCAAGCCTATCCTAGACATGTGGAACACGGGTGGCGCTGTGGGTTAAACCACAGAGACTAGAACTTGCCGATCAGAAGGTTGGCGGTTCAAATCCCCACGACGGGGTGAGCTCCCGTTACTCAGTCCCTGCTCCTGCCAACCTAGCAGTTCGAAAGCACGTCAAAGTGCAAGTAGATAAATAGGTACCGCTCCGGTGAGAAGGTAAACAGTGTTTCTGTGAGCTGCTCTGGTTCGCCATAAGTGGCTTAGTCAGGCTGGCCACATGACCCAGAAGCTGTACGCCGGCTCCCTTGGCCAATAAAGTGAGATGAGGGCCGCAACCCCAGAGTCGTCCGCGACTGGACCTAATGGTCAGGGGTCCCTTTACCTTTACTATCCTAGACATGTAGTATCCTGACATGTGTTTTAATCTGGGTTATTAAAAACTATTTTAACTATTAAAATGTTTCAAATAACTGCTTTTAACTGGTTTTGTTTCCACTGTGTACATTTCAGGGTAAAATTAACAGTAAGCAAAGATGAAAACATGTCAGCCTCCACATGTCTGAATAGGTTTCCCTAAACAAAAATGCTTTTTTGCAGGCGCCAAACAGTTTTAAATTAAATTCAGTAGTAATTTTTTAATATGGAATTACTGGTGGAGAAGCTGCCTTGATCTTCGCCTCAGGTGTCAAAATGCCTTGGGCCGGCCTTGTTATTTGTATATAATGTGGGGGAATGTAACCAGACAAGCATTCCTGGGATAGTGGAACTGAGCGAGTTGGGTTCTTAAAGGGCTTGGGGAGTCAGTTGCCTTTTCACCGACCAAGACCTTCTTTCCTTACAGTGGTGCCAGCTTCCTCACCCTGCTGCAGACACTGGGTCCCGAAAACGCCGTGGCCCTCCTTGTGGCGGTGCTGACGGAGCAGAAGCTGCTCATCCACTCCCTGCGGCCGGACGTCTTGACCAGCGTGGGCGAAGCCTTGGTCTCTGTGAGTCGGGGCTCCTGGGTGGCCTTTGGGGGTTCAGGTGGGGCGGAAGACAGGGGGGCAGCAGTAGGCAAAGCCAGTAAGAGGTGGAGCCAGAGACCATGACAGGCAGAGCCAGCTAAACCCACATTCACCCCATACCTTTAAAGCTCTATGATGCTGGTTTCAACCACTATATTCTTCCCCTCAAGAATTCAACCATGATTAAATGGGCCGGCCCAAGACTTCGGCCATAACATAGATATGAGCCAATGGAAAGAATAGAATAGAATAGAATAGAATAGAATAGAATAGAATAGAATAGAATAGAATTTATAATTTATTCCCTGCCCATCTGGCTGGGTTTCCGCAGCCACTCTGGGCGGCATCCAACAAAGTATTAAAATACAGTGGTCTGTTAAACATTAAAAGCTTCCCTAAACAGGGCTGCCTTCAGATGTCTTCTAAAAGTCTGGCAGTTGTTCTTCTCTTTGACATCTAGTGGGAGGGGTGGGTGGGAAAACTTATGGAAAGTAAACTGGAAATTTACGGTATGCTAAAGCAGTGAGCCTCTTGGGCTTGCCGATCAGAAGGTCGGCAGGTTCGAATCCCCGCGGCGGGTTGAGCTCCCGTTGCTTGGTCCCTGCTCCTGCCAACCTAGCAGTTCAAAAGCACGTCAAAGTGCAAGTAGATAAATAGGTACCGCTCCGGCGGGAAAGTAAACGGCATTTCCGTGCACTGCTCTGGTTCGCCAGAAGCGGCTTAGTCATGCTGGCCACATGACCCGGAAAAACTGTCTGCGGACAAACGCCGGCTCCCTCGGCCTGAAAGCGAGATGAGCACCGCAACCCCAGAGTCTTTCGCGGCTGGACTTTTTTTAAAAAAAAAAAATAATATTTATTCCATATTTAAAGTTACAGGAAAAAAGAAAAACCATACAAAATACAAAGAAAACTTTAACCCTAACAGAGCAAAGGATAAACGAGTAAAAAGAACAGTGAGATAGAATAAAAAAGAAAACTTAACAAAAAATATAAAAATACATTGAGTTAAAATAAAGCAAAAACAGATTAAACCTTTACATAACCTTATCCCTTTACTTATTTCCATGACCTCCTCTCACCTCCCAATTTTGTATTCTAGTTCAAATCGTATTTCCAGCAAATCCCTCTAACCTTATTTTCATTTACGTATTTTAAAATTAAAATAATGTAATTAAACCTTCTCTATTTCATCAAATTCATCGACTCATTTTTGCTTATTCCATTATATCATATCTGCCTAAACGACCTAATATTCTTTTTCCAACCTCCTTCTAACATTCTTTTATATTACAATACTTTTGAAGATATATTTTAAATTTTTTCCAATCTTCTTCCATCGACCCTTCTCTCTGGTCTCGAATTCTGCCGGTCATCTCAGCCAGTTCCATATAGTCCCTTTCGCGGCTGGACTTAACTGTCAGGGGTCCTTTACCTTTTTTATACTCTAAGGGACAACCTTTTAAAAATGTTATATCGTTGGTATTTGACCCCTGGAAACTATCAAAAATGTATAGAAGCGTCCCCAATACCTGCTGGTGATGTGGAGAAACATGCAGTACCGTGTATCATATGTGGTGGGTGTGTAAAAAGATCAAAGCCTTCTGGAATGATATTTATTTAGAACTTTAAAAAATGTTAAAAGTAAAAGGTGAAGGGTGGCTTACAGCACATAAAAATTTTTCAATACCCAGAGTGGTTTAACCAGGCATAGGCAAACTCGGCCCTCCAGATGTTTTGGGACTACAACTCCCATCATCCCTGACCACTGGTTCCGTTAGCTAGGGATGATGGGAGTTGCAGTCCCAAAACGTCTGGAGGGCCGAGTTTGCCTATGCCTGGGTTTAACAACACTTCTTCCCAGGAAACTCTGGGAGTTGTAGCTCTGTGAGCGGGAATTCTCATCACCCGTAGCAAACTACAGTTCCCAGAATTTTTTTTTGGGGGGGGGGGAGAGAAGCTTGAAGTGGGATAGCACTGCTTTAAATGTGCAGTGCGTATGGGCCCCCGGTTTCCTCCATCTAGGCCTCTCAACCAGTGGTGTAGCGTGGGGGGTGCAGGGGGGGCCGGCCGCACCGGGCGCAACATCTGGGGGGTGCGCGCTCGCACTCGCAGCTCTCTACCCCTACCTGGCTCACTCACTCTCTCTCACTGCAGTGCTGGCTGCAGTGCTGGCTCTCTCACTGCAGTGCTGACTCTCTCTCACTGCAGTGCTGGCTGTGCGAATCCGATCCGAGCCGCTGGGTCGCCGCCCACTGTGGAGGGGGTGGGTGCCAGGCGTGCGGTGCGGAGAGAGAGCAAGGGACTATCTGGGGGAGGGGCAGTGCAGCGGCCGCCCAGCGCAGCGCTGAGCGCGGGAGAGAACCACACCAGACCAGCCCAGGCAGCAGCAAGAAGAAGCTGGCAGCGGCGGCAGGTTAGGGGTTAGGGGGCACAAATTACTTGCCTTGCCACGGGTTAGGGGGCGCAAATTACTTGCCTTGCCCCAGGTGCTGACAACCCACGCTACGCCGCTGCTCGCAACGTATTTTTATTACCCTGCCAGATCCTTCCAAGGCCCCCAGCCCTCACCTCTGCGTTTGCTCCCCCCAGATGATATTCCCACTGCACTGGCAGTGCCCTTACATCCCCCTCTGCCCGCTCACCCTGGCCGACGTGCTGTGCGCCCCGGTGCCCTTCATCGTCGGGGTCCACTCCAGCTACTTCGACCTCTACGACCCGCCGCACGACGTCATCTGCGTCGATCTGGACACCAATACCATCTTCCAGTGAGTGCCGCAAGCGGATGGGGGGCGTGACCTGCTCCCCATCCCCCTTGCAAGGACTCCCCGCCGCCCCCTTCCATAGCTGTCAACTTACAGATTTGAAAATAAGGGACCAGCAGCCTCGAAAATAAGGGATCAGCAGCCAAAATGAGGGATCAACAATTACTTTTATAAAATACATATTTTGTTGCGTGCAAATTGCCTTAGATAGCTATTAGGTCCATAAATTACCATATAGCATATATTCAACACAAAAAAACAGCGACAATTTGTTGTTGACAAAGCAAGCTGGACATAGAAAGGGCCCCATTACCTTCAGTAGCTTATTTAAGAGACATCATCAATAAGGGACAGCAGCGAGACATGGCGCTGGAATAAGGGACTGTCCTGCCAAATAAGGGACGCTTGACAGCTATGCCCCCTTCTCTCTTTTTAAAAACTTGTTCGTTTTATTAAATTTTAAGAGATCGGCACAAATCGTATCTGCATCAATATAAATGACTTTCAGGGTTTAAGATCTCCCTCGTTCGTATTACAGTAATTAGCAAAGGGTCCCCCCCACTTCGTGTGGAGCAGTGGTTAGAGTGTCGGGCCAGGTGCTAGGAGACCAGGGTTTGAATCCCCGCTTGGTCACGAGGCTCACTCCCTGGGACAAGTCCCTGCCTCTCAGCCTAAGCTACCTCACAAGGTTGTTGTGGGATTAAATGAAGAGAACCGTGAGGCCATCTTGAGCTCTGTGGAGAAGAAAATGAGGTGGGATATAAATGCTACAAATAAATAATAATAATAATAATAATAATAATAATAATAATTTATAATAATTATTTATTATTTATACCCCGCCCATCTGGCTGGGGTATAAATCATCCTTTATGGGTTAAAACAGTTGTTTTTTGTTAATTCAAGGTTCTTCAGCGGCCATTCCTCTATAGATAAATCTGTGGGTCTCTCCATTAGTATCCCACTGTTCCTCCAAGGAGCTCAAGGTAGGGAATACGGCCCCCTTATTTCCCCCCCTCTGTGACGTAGGGTAGGCCGAGAGTGAGCAGCTGGCCTGAGGTCACGCCCAGCAAATTTCATGGCTCAGAGGGGATTCGAACCCTGCTCTCTCCCAGCTCCTCATCCAGAAGTCTGGCCACACTGGATCTCACTCCCCGCTTGCTGTTTGTCTTCGTGCAAGATTTCCCTGTTGGGGAATCAGTGCAGCTGGGGAATCTGTTTTCAAAAGAGCAACTCTGGGAAGGGGTCCTCTTTGCAGGTGGGGAGCAGGCAGGGAGGGGTGGGGGAACGCCGTGGCTGCAGGGCAGGCTGGCAGGAGGCACTAACCGTAAAGGCAGCTTTCCTCCATGCGCAGGTGCGAGGAAAGGAAGCTGCTGTCGACACGGTCGCTGCCTCGGAAACCTTGCAAGGTGCTCTTGGCTTGCTTGAACTCCCTGTACCATCAGCTGGATGAAAGTGAGTAGTCAGTGCATGCAGTGGAGGGAATTAGGATCAGAGGGGATGCAAATGTTGTGACACGAAACCATGGCTAATGCTCCTCTCTTTCCTCCATCCAAACAAGCATGGTTCGTGGGCATATTCCACGCCGGTAGAAGCACTCAGGGAAGGGGTGCAACAGGGTCTGTGTGGGAATCTGGCCAGGGGAAGTCCCGAGAAAAAAATAGAGAGGCCCAGAAGGCCCTCCCCTAGGTCTGCGGTTCCCTGTTGTTAATGTGAGCCAAGGTTTATAAACCAACAAACCGTGGTTTAGGCCTCTCTATCTGGCCCTTGGTACTTTCCTCAGGCCACACCCCTCAGAACTCACTGTCACGCCCCTTTCTCCAGGCCACACCCCTCAGAACTCCTCTCTGCCACGCCCCTCTCCCCAGACCACACCCCCTCATCAGTTGTTCCGCCTGGCCTTTGGCTTGGAATCAACTTGATCCCCTCCCCCTCTTTCCTTTTTCCTTTCTCCTTCTGTGATGGAACTCCTATTTGGGGACTTCCCTGGCTTTTTCTGGCCCACGTAGGACCAGTCTGGATAGTTGGCCTTGGTGAAGATTTGACGTTTTCATCCCCCAAAAGTTTTTGATTTGAGTTTCTACTGAAATGAGGCTGCATCTTAATGTTGTATTTTAATCTTGTTTTTCAGTTTTTATTTTAATCAATTGATTTTATATCTGGTGTTAGCCGCCCTGAGCCCAGTCTTGGCTGGGGAGGGTGGGGTATAAATAAAATTTATTATTATTATTATTATTATTATCATCATCATCATCATCATCATCCCTGCTTCGCACCCTCTTTGAGTGTTTTGTCCTGGCTGTGGATGTGCCCCTGAGCTCTGATCTTGTCTCTGCTTGCCTGGGTGGATGATAGAGAGGCGGCCCCAGGACCAACATTTTGGGGGATTTTACAACAGGAAATAAACTGCCACAAGGGCTGGATTCAATCAGCAGGCGCTCAGGATTAGGCCCTCAGGCCGGACTTTGAACATGCCTGGCTTACAAACAAATTTTATTGCAACCTTTTCAGAATAATAAAATTTGGGAGTGATACCCATACGAAGATGGGTCCGAGCCCCACGTTGGACAAAAAAAACTTCCCATATTGGACTAGATGAACCTTGTGGTTCTCCTTCCAGCTCTACAATTCTATGATTCTGTGAGGTAATCCTGCTGACAGGATCCCTGATAGGTTGGCCACCCAACCTCCGCTTAGAAACCACGAGGGCAGCCTTTCTCAACCTGTGGTTCCCCAGATGTGGCTGGACTACAACTCCCATCATCCCAACTAGCAAGGCCAGAGCTCAGGGATGATGGGAGTTGTAGTCCAACCACACCTGGGGACCCGCAGGTTGAGAACCGCTGCACTAGGGTAAGAGAACTTGAATACCTCCTTAACATCCTTGTCGCCCTCTCCTCTGCAGTGTATAACCGGCCCGTCGAGGAAGCCACCCTGGAATTCCTGCTGACCGACTACGACCTCATCTACGGCCGGCGGAAACAGCTGGAACTGGACATCCAGGGGGCTTTCCTTCGCTTCATGGCCTGCCTGCTGAAGGGCTACCGCTGCTACCTCCTGCCCATAACGCAGGCGCCCTCTGAGAAGACCCGCGACTCCAGTAGCCTCTTCAACCTCCAGGGTACGGCAAGACAGGGGAGGGAGCTGTCCCAACGCCCGGGTCCTGCGTGGGGGCTTCCCCTGGAGGAGAGGATGCTCAGCTAGAGGGGCCACGGGCCTGATCCACCAGCCAGGCTCTAAGAACCGTAGAATTGTCTGGCCCAGCTCCCTGCAATCTTTCGCCCCACGTGGGATTCAAACCCACGACCTTGAGATTAAGAGGCTCATGATCTTCCGACTGAGCTATCTTCTTATGTTCCAGTGAGGGAGGGCATATTCATGGAGGATATCAGCAGCTTCTGGTCGCAGGGACTATATTCTTCCTCCCAAGATGAAATAGGCCATCGAGACATATAAAATGTAGACATGTGTTTTAGTTTGATTTTCAGCTTTGTCGTTGATCTTTCCTTTTGAATTCTTTAAAGGGTTGTTTTTCTGATAATTTCGTCGCTTTATTTTTGCAAAACCCCTTTGAGGTTTTCTGCTTGTTTTCTGCAATCATACGGTAGATAAATTTTACGAGATGCGTACATAACAACAACAAAATGTTTGAGGCTTTTTGCTTTTTTTTAATAAGTGGTATACAAACTTTATGAAATGTGTTTTACGACGCAGGTGTTAGCCTGGTTTTTAGCTTTGGCGTGGATCTGAATTATTTTTTCCAATTTTTAAAATAGCTGTTTCGTCGCTTTATTTTTTTGCAAAACCTCTTTGAGGTTTTTTGCTTGTTTTCTGCAATCATACAGTCCATAAATTTCATGAGATGAGTAGATAACAACAGCAACAACAGCAGCAATAGCTTGAGTGCAGATTTGAACCTAAGTCTTACCTGGCCCAGTGCTCTAACCACTACACCACCACTGCCTCCCATTCCCCCCCTCTCCTCAATCCAGGCTTCCTGAAGTCACGTGACCGGGCGTATCACAAGTTTTATGGGCAGCTCCTCCGCACCCAGCTCTTCACGCAGTTCATTGAGGAGTGCTCCTTCGTCAACGACCGCCACACATCCCTAGAGTTCTTCGACTCCTGCGTGGAGAAGGTGACAGGAAGGGAGCTAAATGTGGGTTCAGCTGGGGCCCAGGAAATGGGCGCTGTACAGATCAGGCTATTGAACAGTCAAAATGAGATTTGGTGAATTTCATGTGTCGAGTGTGCTACTTAAAGCAATGGGGGGATACTTCAGTCAAGGGTGGGTGGCTGTTCCCGCAGACCTTAATCCAGTCCCAGTACAGTGGTACCTTGGTTCTCAAACACGTTGGTACTCAAACGACTTGGAACCCAAACACTGCAAACCCAGAAGTAAGTGTTCCGGTTTGCAAACTTTTTTGAGAAGCTGAATGTGCTCCATTTTGAGTGTTACGCTTCCGATTTGAGTGCCATGCTTCCGTTCTGAGTGTTACACTGAGGTCTGTCTGTTTTTGCTGTTTATTTTGCATTTTTGTTTTTGTGGCTCTTTTTGTTTTGTTTTTGTGACTGTCTGGAACCCAGTTCAGCTACTGATTGTGTGTCTGCAGTACATTGTTTATTGCTTTTATTTTATTGATCAGTGGTCTCGTTAGATAGTAAAATTCATGTTAAATTGCTGTTTTTAAAAGTCTGGAATGGATTAATCCATTTTGCTTTACAATGGTACCTCGGGTTACATACGCTTCAAGTTACAGATGCTTCAGGTTACAGACTCCGCTAACCCAGTAATAGTACCTTGGGTTAAGAACTTTGCTTCAAGATGAGAACAGAAATCGGGCGGCGGCAGCGAGAGGCCCCATTAGTTAAAGTGGTGCTTCAGGTTAAGAACAGTTTCAGGTTAAGAACGGACCTCCAGAACGAATTAAGTACGTAACCAGAGGTACCACTGTACTTTCTTTGGGAAAGCACGCCTTGGTTTTGGAACGCTTTGGTTTTGGAACGGACTTCTGGAACGGATTAAGTTTGAGAACCAAGGTACCACTGTAAGGCTTTTGCAGTCTACAAGAGCTCCCTCAAATGGTCATTCAATTTAAAAAAAGGACTTTAAAAAGTGACCGCTTCCTAGATCCCCTGATGTGAGGCCATGATGCCACGTTAATGCACTTCACAAGATGTCTCTCTCTCCTGCCATCGCTGTTCCTGCTCAGGTGGACCTGGAGAAGATGGAGGAATCTCCCCTGATCGAACTAGACGACACTCACGGCAGCGAACACACCGTCTTCATCATGCCCCCGGAGGAGCCCACCGGACCCAATGGCTCTGAGCTGCCACCGCGCTACCAGTGAGTTCTGCTGGAATCACAGCACGGCAGAGTTGGGAAGGGGCCCCTCAGGAGTCATCCAGCCCAACCCGCTGTGACGCAGAAATCACAGCTAAAGAGTCCCCGGCCGAACAGCCCGTACTATCAGGACGTTCCTCCTAACGTTTAGTCAGAACTTCTTTTCTTGCAACTTGAATTCCTTGGTTCAGGTCCTGCCTTCTGGAGCAGCGGAAATCTAGCTTGCTCCACCTTCGACGTGACAGCCCTCCAAGTGTTTGAAGAAGACTTCTGTGTCACTTACCATAACACACCTTGATTTTGTGTGTATAAATTGGGGTGTGGGAGAAACGTAAACGGTTTAGATAATTTTGTTCAAACGTTGAGAAGAGAGCATAGCTTGAGATTTCGTTTTTGGGGTTTTTTTGGGTTGCATCAGAATGTTGACCCTACTCAGATAAGACCCTTTGGAATTAATTAGTGGGCCTGCAGTCATCCCGGTCCCACCTTGAGGTGAGCAGCAGAAACCAGGGTGGGGCTGCGCAAGTAAGCCTGTTGGTACATCAACTCTTGACATGGAGAGAAGAGCCTCTTTGGGGAAGGGTTATAGCTCAGCAGCAGAACAGCCCCTGCCTTGCAAGAAGAATTCCATCCCAAAATTTCCAGAAAAGTTTCCTGCCTGAAATCCTGGAGAGCGCTACTGCCAGTCCGTGTCAGCAGTACTGAGCTAGATGCACCAACCGTCCAACTCAAGTGACCCATTTTCCTATTTATTCAGAACAGTGAGGACTAGAATCTTAACTTTCCTTTTGCAGGAAGGGGCTGCCGCTCAGTGCTAGAGCATCTGCTTTGCAAATTTGCATGAAACCCCGGAATGCTGCTGACCGTCAGTGTGGTCAGTGTGAGCTAGGGGGACAGCGATCTGACTCTGTATATGGCCGTTCCTATGTGCCTGTTTAGAACTATTCAGAAGCAGGAGGTCTAGAAGCCTTATTTTAAGGGGGAAGGCCACAGCTCAGCCGACCGCCTCCTTCTCTCTCTTCACTCCAGGTACGATGGCTTCCCCAGGCTGCAGGCCAAGCTCTTTGAGCGGCCCCAGGACCAGCTCATGCCCTCACTTTGCCAAGCCCGGACCAGCGCTCCCAGCAGCCCAGCTCCACGCAGGACCAAACAGGTAGGGTTTGCGCCTGGGCTTGCAGCAGTGGCTATAGGTGTCCCCAGCCACTCGGTGCCTTATAGCACATAAAAAATTGTAAAACGTGAGACATACAAAATTTCCCAATATAGGGCTGTCTTCAGATGTCTTCTAAAAGTCAGATAGTTGTTTATTTCCTTGACATATGATGGGAGGGCATTCCACAGGGCGGGCGCCACTACCAACAAGGCCCTCTGCCTGGTTCCCTGTAACCTCACTTCTCACAGGGAGGAAACTGCCAGAAGGCCCTCGGAGCTGGACCTCAGTGTCTGGGCTGAACGATAGGGGTGGAGTCCTTTAAGGGCACTTTCACATTGCACATTTAAAGCCCTGTGTGTGAAAATAGACATGGCTTCCCCCACAAAGGATTCTGGGAACTGTCATTTGTTGAGGGTGCTGAGAGCTGTTAGGAGACCTCATTCCCAGAGCTGTTTTGACATTCAATCCCTCTTCCCAGGGAACTCTGGGAGTTATAGCTCTGTAAAGGGAATAGTAGTCTCCGAACTCTCAGCACCCTTAACTGACCACAGTTCCCAAGAGTCCTGCGGGGGAAGCTATGATAGTTTGAAAAGATACCACAGGGCTTTAGTAGTGTGGTTCGGATGTGGCCTAACCCTGGTTGATTAACTTCAGCAGGTCTGCTCTGGGTAGAAATAACCCTGGCTAATCCCTGTTGACCTTGGGCTACAGTGCAGTTGAGAAATAAATTTTTCAAGTCCAATTGTGACCTTCTCCCTTTCTTCTCCGCAAAACCCCACAAATCTTCCCCACTCGAGGGACGATTCCAACAGATTCCACACAAAAAGCGCTTATGTCCCTGTGGAGATGGCAGTACCGAATCGGTGGCGCATGCCCTCCTGGCTTGCGCTCTTTATAAAGACTTGAGGAATGAGATTATCACCTCTCTTTTATTGTCCATTCCGGGTCGGCCAGCCACTGCCACCGTGCCCTTTCTCTTGGCAGATCATCAAGATGAGCAGGTGACAGCAAAGGTTGCAAGGTTTTTTTAGCTGAGGCAGTGAGAATAAGATCCACTATTTGACTATTGATTCAAAACCCTAAAATGTGTTTTATAGAATTGACTTTTTATTTCTATTCTTTGTCTATCGTATTGTTGTTTTATTGCTACGGCCGATGGCTGACGCAAATAAAGCTTCATTCATTCACTCCCCACCCCTTCCAGGAAATGAAGGTAGCCCAGCGAGTGGCTCAGAAGTACTCTGCGATGCCAGATATGTGGGCTAAGTGCTTGCTTGGGCACTGCTACGGCCTGTGGTTCATCACGCTGCCCACCTACGTGCGGGCAGCAACCTCTAAGGTGCGGGCCTTGCAGACGGCCTACGAGGTGCTCAAACAGATGGAGACCAAGAAGGTGGTGCTTCCCGATGAGGTAGTTGCTGGAGCCTGATGCCGTCTCCCCGATGTTTACTGTACAGAATTGGTTCAGTCCTTTGAATTCATCTGAATCTGCTGCTTATAATATATAATAATAATAATACGTTTTTATTTACACCCCACCCTTCCTGGTTCAGAAAACCGGGCTCAGGGCGGCTAACAACAAATTTAAAACACTTAATTGATGCAACAAAAAACCAGCATAAAATACAGTATAAAACGTGAATAACAATAAATTCAGAATTGAGGGGGGAAATCCATCCCATAAACATTAGATGATCACCAGGGCTAGCTGGCTAAATTAGTCCTATTTGGGCCAGCGAGGAGACCAGGGGAGAATTAGCTGTGGGATCCCAGAGTGGGTAATCTTCATAAAAAGGGGAGGGGGAAGGAAGGAAGGGGAATATAAGATCAGGCTAAATTCAAGTTGAAAGCCAGGCGGAATAGCTCTCTCTTACAGGCCCTGCGGAAGGAAGTTAAATCCTGCAGGGCCCTGGTCTCATGGGACTGAGCATTCCACCAGGTCGGAGCCATCACTGAGAAGGCCCTGGCCCTAGTGGGGGATAATCTGACTTCCTTAGGGCCCGGAACCTCTAAACTATGATTATTCATGGACCTTAAGGTCCTCTGTGGGGCATACCAGGAGAGGTGGTCCCATAAATACAGGGCTGCCTTCAGATGTCTTCTAAAAGTCTGGTAGTTGTTGTTCTCTTTGACATCTGTTGGGAGGGCGTTCCACAGGGCGGGTGCCACTACCGAGAAGGCCCTCTGCCTGGTTCCCTGTAACTTGGCTTCTCAAGTGAGGGAACCACCAGAAGGCCCTCGGTGCTGGACCTCAGTGTCCGGGCAGAACGATGGCGGTGGAGACGCTCCTTCAGATATACTGAATTGCAGGTCTGTGGCGTGGGATTCTCCCTTGGCAAGGGGTAAGGCAGGGAAGGGGATAAGCAATCCACAACCATTCATGCCATCTCTTTGCCCTCCCGCTTCTCAGGTGTGCTATCGAATCCTGATGCAGCTGTGTGGTCAATACGGCGAGCCTGTCCTCTCTGTCCGAGTGCTGCTGGAGATGAAGCGGGCCGGTATCGTGCCCAACACCATCACCTATGGCTACTACAACAAGGTACCTCGCTTGCAGACCCCTCCACTTTCCCTCGGCTCTGTCAGAGGGCATTCTGCTTCAACAGGGCACAGGGTATAAGGATGTGTGTCCGGCGTCTGCTGTTCCCCCTGGGGCTCGGGACCTGCAGAGAGAAGTGGCGGTGATTATGAGAGGTTTTCTGGCCCAGAGTCAGGAGTTGAAAAGACAGATCAGGACCCTGGAGAGCTCCGAGCAAGCCCAGCTGGCTGAGCTATGGGAGATGTTGTCTCAGCGCAAGGCTGAGAGGGCTTGGAACTGGTACCTGCAGGCCTGTGCTCCTGTGTGGTTCTGGAATGGAAGAGGCTGTAGGGGACTTGCCCAGGGGACTCTGAGGATGATAGAAAGAGCCACATATTCAGGCCAGGGAACTGCAGAAGGATGCTCATGCCTAGTTCCACCCCTAAGCATTATTTCTCACCCAATTTAGGGAGGGGACGAAAGCTTTATAACTGGGGATCAAAATCCCTTGCTGATCTTCGGCAAATTGCCCTGAGATCTACCAGTAGTAATAGTAATAGTAATTTATTATTTGTACGCTTCCCATCTGGCTGGGCTTCCCCAGCCACTCTGGGCGGCTTCCAACAAAGATTAAGGTAAAGGGACCCCTGACCATTAGGTCCAGTCGTGGCCCACTCTGGGGTTGCGACGCTCACCTCGCTTTATTGGCCGAGAGAGCCGGCGTACAGCTTCCGGGTCATGTGGCCAGCATGACTAAGCCGCTTCTGGCGAACCAGAGCAGCACACGGAAACGCCATTTACCTTCCCACTGGAGCAGTACCTATTTATCTACTTGTACTTTGAAGTGCTTTCGAACTGCTAGGTTGCCAGGAGCAGGGACCGAGCAATGGGAGCTCACCCCGTTGCGGGGATTCGAACCGCCAACCTTCTGATCGGCAAGTTCTAGGCTCTGTGGTTTAACCCACAGCAAAATACATTAAAATGTCACACATTAAAAACTTCCCTGAAGCCTTCAGATGTCTTCTAAATTTCAGGTAGTAGTTTATCTCTTTGACATCTGGTGGGAGGGCGTTCCACAAGGGGGGCGCCACTACCAAGAAGGCCCTCTGCCTTGTTCCCTGTAGCTTTGTTTCTCGCAGTGAGGGAACCGCCAGAAGGCCCTTGGCGCTGGACCTCAGTGTCCAGGCAGAACGATGGGGATGGAGACACTCCTTCAGGTATACTGGGCCAAGGCGGTTTAGAGCTTTAAAGGTTAGCACCAACCCTTTGATTGTGCTCGGAAATGTACTGGGAGCCAATGTAGGTCTTTCAGAACCAGTGCCATATGATCTTGAGAGCCCGAGATCTCCCTTCTGCCCGCCACTTGCTTTGTTGCCCTCTCACCTCCTCCTCCTGCTCATCCATAGGCCATTTTGGAATGCAAATGGCCGTCTGGTACCCAGGGAGGCCGCCTCCGCTGGGCCAAGCTGCGGAACGTCGTCCTGGGGGCCGCCCAGTTCCGCCAGCCTCTGCGGCAGCGGCAGCGTGAGGCAGAATCGCAGAGCGTCAGCAGCCAGTCAGGTATGGAAACCTTGCCTTATGAGGAACGGTCGAAGGAGCTGGGTATGTTTAGCCTGGGAAAGAGGAGTCTTGAGAGGAGACCATGATAGCCATAGTCGTATAGCTAAAGGGCTGTCACATGGAAGATGGGGCAAGCTTGGCAAGCCGATGGAAGGGGCCTTGCTACCTCAGGTGTTACCTGGGAGAACAGCCCCTGGCGGAGGCAGTTCAGGGAGAGAGAGAAATGTTGAGGAGGGAGAGTGTTGATAGTTGAAAGGTGCCAGTGTGGTGGTGTGGTTAAGAGCCGTAGACTCGTAATCTGGGGAACCGGGTTCGCGTCTCCGCTCCTCCACATGCAGCTGCTGGGTGACCTTGGGCCAGTCACACTTCTCTGAAGTCTCTCAGCCCCACTCACCTCACAGAGTGTTTGTTGTGGGGGAGGAAGGGAAAGGAGAATGTTAGCCGCTTTGAGACTCCTTCGGGTAGTGATAAAGCGGGATATCAAATCCAAATCCAAAGTGTGATTTGATTTCCGCAAACTGCTTTGAGGTGGGGTCTGGGTGGGGGGACGTGAAGCAGCTTCAGAAAAGTGTCATCTAGAGCTCATTGGGATGGATATGCTAGCAGGTTAATCATGATGCAAAGGACTTCAAAGGTTTGGTCCGAGCTGGCTGCTGGAGACAGCATTTTTCTCCCTGCTTCCGTTGGCAGAGGGCAGAAGCATCAAGATGCCAGGCTCCCGCTCCCGGTCCCGGTCCAATCTGCAGCGGCAGACGACTTGGTCTGGGGGCAGTGTGACCGAGAACCTTCCGTCCACGTCGCTGGTGAAGAGCGGCAGCCTCAGTTTCCCTCAGCAGGAGCCAGAAGCTGGAGTGGCTCGTGGTGAGTTTTGGAGGCGGGCGGAGGAGTCCTTGGAGACTCGAAAATAGTTGCAGCAGGATCAGTATATCAATATATCCAATGGGGGGAGGAGGGAGAACCTAATAAGAGTCCTTGGATCAGTCCGACCTGAGCACAAGAGCATTGTGGAGTCAGAAGACAGCCGTCGTTGCTATTGGCCTTGATAGCCTTCCCCTCCGTGAATTTGCCCAGTCCCCTTTTAAAGCCATCCACCTTGGTGGCCGTCACTGCCTCCTGTGGCAGGGAGTTCCACAGTTTAACGCTGGATGTCCCCGAGCTCTAGTGTTGCTCTTACTCGCTTTTTCTCTAAACTAGGCCAACACTTCAGCAATACCTTTCTGCCCCACTGTATCTGCCAAATTCTCTCGCAGGATTCCTGTGGCCATGTGCCAGTGGTGGGCGGGGCCAGAGCCCAAAGTGGGAGGGGCAATGAACATTCCAAGGGCTGTGTTCCAGTGGTGGGCGGGGCCAAAGCCCAAAGTGGGAGGGGCAATGAGCATGAATTTTATTTCTTACAGTAAGACACTTCCTTACACACATTTGCACACCCCACCTGCTTTACCCGACATTAAGGCAGGCCAAGAGGCACAAGCAGAGTCCACGGACAGGTTCCAGCTAGGCAAAAACCGTCAAGGAGGGTGCAAAGCAGGGACAGTGCTTGGCGTGCCCTGAGGGCCAGATAGCATGGCTTGGAGGGCCGCATTTGACCCCACGCCCTGGCCTAATAATAATAATAATAATAATAATAATAATTTATTATTTGTACCCCACCCATCTGGCTGGGTTTCTCTAGCCACTCTGGGCGGCTTCCAACAAAGATTAAAAATACATTAAAATGTCACACATTAAAAACTTCCCTGAACAGGGCTGCCTTCAGATGTCTTCTAAAAGTCAGATAGTTGTTTATTTCCTTGACATCTGATGGGAGGGCGTTCCACAGGGCGGGCGCCACTACCGAGAAGGCCCTCTGCCTGGTTCCCTGTAGCCTCACTTCTCGCACTGAGGGAACTGCCGCAAGTCCCTTGGCGCTGGACCTCAGTGTCCGGGCAGAACAATGGGGGTGGAGACGCTCCTTCAGGTATACTGGGCCGAGGCTGTTTACGGATTTAAAGGTCAGCACCAACACTTTGAATTGTGCTCGGAAACGTACTGCTGTAACCCATATCAGTCCTTTCCTGTCCTCTCCCGCTTTGCAGCGACCAAGGCCCTGGACGCCACAGACCACGGCAGCAGCAGCACGCTCCCCGCCCTGCCCCACTGGCTGCAAGGCCGGGCCGGGAGCTCCGAGGACGGGAGCCTGTCGGACGTCAGCAGCTTCTTGACGGACGAGAGCGACAGGTTGACCCTGAGCAGCGTGGACACTCAGCCGGGCCCGGGGCGGTTGGATGGCTCTGCCACAGGGTCGGAGAACCGTGGCATAGGGAGCGGCACACCGCGCAGAAGCCTGGCTGCCAAACTCCAGCAGCTGCTCTCGCCCATCAAGCGGCCGTCGCTGAGACACGGCGCCACCGCGGAGCATTCGCACACACGCCGCGGGTCCGAGCAGCGGGAGCTCCCACCTCGCCGCAGCCCGCTGGAAAGCCGCTTGTTGCTTCCTCGCGAGCGCCCGGGCTCCACTGCCTCCGAGGTAGGGAGCCCTGAGCAGCAGGCTGCGCGGTAACCGTGCCAGAAGTGGTTCTGGAACAAAGCAGGTTGTGAAATAAAGGCTTCCGGCCTGTTTAGGCAACTCCTCATTTATGTGTGTTCAAGGGCTGCGTCTCGCCAAAGTAATAATAATAATAGTAATAATAATAATATATTTTATTTATATCTCGCCCTCCCCGGCCGAAGCTGGGCTCAGAGCGGCTAACAACAATAAAATGATACAACATTCTAAAATCATTTCATTTCATTATAAAATCAGTTCGAATCAGATTAATGGCAACCATTGGGCTAGAGTTCTATTAGGATGACAGGAGGAGGGGGTCAGGCTGTGCCCTGGCCAAAGGCCTGGTGGAACAGCTCCGTCTTGCAGGCCCTGCGGAAAGATGTCAAGTCCCGCAGGGCCCTAGTCTCTTGTGACAGAGCATTCCACCAGATTGGGGCCACAGCCGAAAAAGCCCTGGCTCTGGTTGAGGCCAGCCTAACCTCCCAGGACCTCCAAGATGTTTTTGTTTGAAGACCATAAGGTCCTCCGTGGGACATACCAGGAGAGGCGGTAAGAGAGACGGTCCCGTAGTTACAAGGGTCCTAGGCTGTATAGAGCTTTAAAGGTTAAAACCAGCACCTTAAACCTGATCCTATACTCCACCAGGAGCCAGTGCAGCTGGTATAGCACCGGGTGAATGTGATCCCGCAGCGAGGACCCCGTAAGGAGTCTTGCCGCAGCATTCTGCACCCGCTGGAGTTTCTGGGTCAGTCTCAAGGGCAGCCCCACATAGAGCGAGTTACAATAGTCCAGTCTGGAGGTGACAGTCGCGTGGATCACAGTGGCTAGGTCAGGGCGAGAGAGGTAAGGAGCCAACTGCTTAGCTTGGCGGAGATGAAAAACAAACCCAGAAGTGGCATGAAAAGGGGTGAAAACGGCCCTGAAAGAGTGCAAAAGTGGCGCGAAACTATGTTTAGCAATCCCACAAGCCTTTGCAAGTGCAATCCCGCGAGCTCTTGCACCAACCTTTGAGGCCTGGGGAGTCAGGGAGTCGGAATTTGAGCATGGAGGTTTGGAGGGAGCGATTGTGGTGTTTGCAGGCCTCTTCAATGGTGTTCCCAGTAAACGTAATTTCGCTTAAGTGTGCGCTGCCTCGGGACTTAACCCCTGTGTAAATGGTGAGTTGCCTCTACCCAGGTTCCTGTTATCGCCCTTCCTCCTTGCTTGGTTACTCGATTCACTGTCTCCATTTGAGGTGTGCGTTATTTCTTGTTACAGTTTATGCTACAAAATTCAATAATTATTCCCCACCCCACCTCACTTTTCTTTGCAACAGAGTTCCGTGTCCCTGGGCAGCGAATACGATTATTCGAACAGCTCCTTGTGCAGTTTCAACCTCCGGAAATCCACCGATTTGCTGACAGAGTCTCCGGCGGTTGAGGTATATTCCAGCTTGCCGTCCCTGACTCGCTCTCCCTGCATCCCTCAAAAGCTCCTCTCTCCACCATCCGTACTTTAACGTGCCGTAGGTGTACTCTCCAAGCATCATAATTAAGCCTCCGTTATTTGCAGTGCACTCAATGTGGGGCTGGGACGCGGGTGGCGCTGTGGGTTAAACCACAGAGCCTAGGAATTGCCGATCAGAAGGTCGGCGGTTCGAATCCCCGCGACGGGGTGAGCTCCCATTGCTCGGTCCCTGCTCGTGGCAACCTAGCAGTTCAAAAGCACGTCAAAGTGCAAGTAGATAAATAGGTACCGCTCCAGCGGGAAGGTAAACGGCGTTTCCGTGCGCTGCTCTGGTTCTCCAGAAGCGGCTTAGTCATGCTGGCCACATGATCCGGAAGCTGTACGCTGGCTCCCTCGGCCAATAAAGCGAGATGAGCGCCGCAACCCCAGAGTCGGTCATGACTGGGCCTAATGGTCAGGGGTCCCTTTACCTTTAATGTGGGGCTGCTTTCGGGGGCTTGATCTGGAGACTCCAGCTGGTTCAAAACACTGCAGCTCGACTGTTTAATTTCATTTAATTTAGTATTACATTTCTACTGTGCCTTTTCTCCCTAGGAGATCAAGGTACATGGTTCCCCCCTGCCCCAACTCCAATTCATCCTTGCAACAACCCCAGGAGGTGGGTTAGTCTGAGGGCCTGTGAATGGTCCAAGGTTAGCCGGTGAGCAGAGAAACTAGAACTCGGGTCTCACAGGTCCAAGTCTGTCACTGTAACCCTTACACAACACTGTCCCCCACCTTCTTCTGAAATACGAGCTCCATTAGGTACCTCCCGCTCCTGAGTTGTTCCTGTGCCACAAATAAGAACCGGTTCTTCAAGAGCCAGTGCCAGAGCTTGCTTTTTTCCTCTTCCCTCCCTAATCCTTTGCCCTTGTGTGCCGTGACTTTAAGCTTGCAGGCCAGGAACTGTCTTGTTTCAACGGACAGTCTGCAAGCCACTCTTTGCCCTCTGTGATTCTATGGGCCTTTGCCAAGCAAGTTCTTTCCTGACCTTCCTCCCGTCCTGCTCAGGTCCTTCTCTCCAGCTGTTCCCGGTGCCAGGCCTGCAGCTCGCTGGTGTACGATGAAGAGGTGATGGCCGGCTGGAGTTCGGACGATTCCAACCTCAACACCACCTGCTCCTTCTGCGCCCGCTCCTTCGTGCCCTTCCTCAGCATTGAGATCCAGGATTTCCAGGCGGCCCCCAGGTCAGAACCCCGGGTGGTTCCACTCCCCTGTCATTATAGGGGTGGCCTGGTCAGCAGCACTGGCTGCTGTCCATTGGGACTGGTGGGGCGGAACTTAGGGGGCCCACCACTTGGTGGCACCAGAGGCAATGACAGGCAGTGATTACAACCAATGAAAGGCTCCTAAGACTGGTGGGGCGGAAGTCAGGGAGCCACCAGTAGGTGGCGTCAGAGCGGATGGCTGGCAGAGAATTGGAGAACTGAGACTGCTCTTAGAATTCCAGAGACAAGAGGCTTAGCCCTTTGCAAATAACAGCAAACTGTGGTCAGCCTGGAATGGTATGCAATACTGGGCCTTTTTTCAAAGGAGAACCATTTTAACGAATGGACATGACTAATTTAGGTCCATTTTCAATAGGTCTACTCTTGAGTAGAGCTCGGTTGGATACAGCCCTATGTGTCTGGGTTGTGCCATTTTGACCTTCAGAGGAGAGCTCAATTCCTCTCTCTTTTTTAAAAAAAAAGTCCAAAAAACAAGCACAAAACCCCCTCCAAATATTTCATGCACCTAGAAATCTAGTATGTCAGGATGATGGAGTCCAGCAGCATCTTCTCCAACATTCTAGTTTTCTAGGTGCAGGGATTTATTTAGTACACATATGGACATGTGATTTTCCCTTCTTGCAACGCAGGCCGAGAAACAGGTTAGCTGTCTTGGCTTGTTTTGAGTGCGGGGCTGAAGGAAGACGCTTGGTGCTTGCTTTTTTAAAGTAAGGCTCTAGTCCTCATGTTTGTAAAAAAAAAAAAAAGGGACTAGAATTCGTTGGCATATGTATTGAGTAGATGTTTTTCTCTCCATCATTTCCGCCTCCCCAGCATCGCTGACACCTCAGACACCAGCTCTATCTCCTCCGATTGGCCGCGGGACAGCGAAGCCCCCGCGCCAGGGAGCCAGGGCCCCGTCCTCAGCGACCGCTCCCACTGCCTGTCTCTGGATGAAGCTGAGCCGGAACCCGGAAGGGAGTCCAGGGCTGGGTCTCTGTGCAACGGCTTCACCGAGTCTCCGGTGCGGATGGGCTTGGGGGAGAACCTTCTGGGTCTTTCAGCTAGAAAACGGGGGAGTTGTGATGAGAGGAGGAGCAACACGGAGAGCCCAAGGGCCTCATTCCCGTTTGGGCAAGCTCTCGAGGGCCGCGTGATGCCAGTGGTGGGCGGAGCCAGAGGCGGAAGTGGGCGGGGCAACACATGTAAATGGCACCTTTGCGCGGTGGGCTAGTTCCTGCCTCAGGCAAGAGACTCATCCAGGGAAACCAGAGGGCATAATCAGGGTTCAAGGGAGGGTAGGACTCAAACCCGTGGCTTCAAGTTACAGGAAAAAACACTTAGGGTACAAGGCAGGCCTAGCGAAGGGTGTATATGGAGGGCCACATCTGGCCCCTGAGCCTGTGGTCCCCACCCTCCCCTCATTCTAGCTAGACAGGCCTATTTTGAACCCAGGCTCACCCCCTTGGCATTAACCAAAATCCGATACTGCCTCTTGCTTGCCTGGTATGTATATGAGTGTGCATGTAGAAATTTATTCATACCCCACCTTTTTACCTGACGGGGCTTAAGCCTGCTTACGGTTAAGAATAAGAACTGCCAGAAACATACTAAGGTGAAATTCAGATTAATCTCTCATCCCCCTGTTGCCCCTGGCCCTGCCTACTGTTGGAATGCGGCCCCCAGAAGCTTTATCCTGGTCCCTTTTTTATATTGTGGGGTCCGGCGGTAAAGTTGAAAATGGGCGAGAGCAACGCAAGGGTTGACGTCTGTCGTGACGCCTTCCTTGTTCTTACCTGTGCTTCGTTCCCCCCGCTTCCAGGTTCCTCAGGGTCCGGCCCCCGAAGTGGAACACCTGGCCTTTGCCTACCTGAGCCCCTTAGTCCTGCGGAAGGAGCTGGAGACCCTGCTGGAGAACGAGGGAGGGGACTTCCTGTCTCAGCCGGAGCTGGTGGACAACCACCCAATCATCTACTGGAACCTGGTGTGGTACTTCCAGCGCCTGGGTCTGCCCAGCAGCCTCCCCCAGCTGCTCCTGGCTAGCAAGCACTTCCAGTCAGCGCCGCAGGTGACTCATCTCCCCATCCCTCCTTATCCTTACGGGAACAACCCTGCGAAATAGGTTGGACCAAGAGAGGTGGGAACCTTCTATGGCCCTCCAACACATTGTTGGACTCCAACTCCCATCAACCCCAGGCAGCCTGGCCCAATGGTCAGGGGTGATGGGAGGCCATTGAGATCTAAAGGACCAGAGACTCCCTGCCCTGGACACACATCCCAACCAATCAGGGATCATATACTAAATACAATTGCAGAGGTGTAAAGCAGGGGCACAGAGCCTGTTGCCCTCCAGAAATTGCTGGACTCCCAACTCCCAGCAGTCGGGGTGATGGGAGTTTACACCTCTGAAAGTGCATAAAAGCCATGCGGCCTAGGACCTACGTACCTACGGGATTGCCTCTCCTGGTATGCCCCGCGGAGGACCTCAAGGTCCACAGATAACAACACTTTGGAGGTTCCAGGTCGCAAGGTGGTTAGACTGGTTTCAACTAGGGCCGGGGCCTTTTCAGCACTGGCCCCGACGTGGTGGTACGCTTTGTCACAAGAGACTAGGGCCCTGCGGGACTTGACATCTTTCCGCAGGGGCTGCAAGACAGAGCTGTTCCACTTGGCCTTTGGTTTGGACTTGGTGTGACCCTTATGTTTCCCTCCCCTTATGGTATTGATTTATCAGCTATTTTAAAATGAGGCTGCATTTTAAATTGCATTTTAACCTGTATTTTAAATTGGGTTTTTTTCTTTTCTTTCCCCTCCTCTCTTTTTTCTCTATTATGTTTTTACTGTGATTTTATTGGTGTTAGCCGCCCTGAGCCTGGCTCTGGCTGGGGAGAGAGGGGTATAAATAAAAATTATTATTATTATTATTATGTGATATGTGATCTCTGATTGGCTGGGACATGTTTCACACAGTGAGCCTATGGTCCTCCAGGTGTAGTTGGACTGCCACTCACATTAGCCCTGGCCATCCCTGGTGATGGAAGTTGTAGTCTAGCAACTTCTGGTTCCTCCCCACTGCCCTAAAGCAAGTTGTCCAGAAATTGTCCTGTGACTTTCCTACCATAAGAGATCTGACGGTAAGAGCTGCTCAGTAGTGGAACCGTCTCCCTCGGGAGGTTGTGGACTCTCCTTCCTTGGAGAGATTGGATGGTCATCTGTCCTGGATGCTTTATCTGAGATTCCTGCATTTCGGGGGCGGGTTGGACTAGATGACCCTTGGGGTCCCTTCCAACTCTATAATTCCAAGATTATGTTACCAGGGTTGGGGAGGAGCCAGGGTGTGGCCCTCCAAGTGTTGCTAGACTCCAACTCCCCTCATCCCTGACCATTGGCTTCTCAATACGGCTTACACTGCAGCTGTGATACTTGGCTTATATTTCAGCTGCCGGCCCGTTAATAACATCGCAGTTATTTTACTGACCGATTGGTTAATTATGCAACGTGACTTAAGTTGTACCTGCGGTGTTTCATTACGCCATTGTTATTTATTGTCGGTAAGCCGCTTTGGGATCGGTATGAGTGGACAGCAACATAGAAAGACAGAGTACAGTGGTACCTCGGGTTACATACGCTTCAGGTTACATATGCTTCAGGTTACAGACTCCGCTAACCCAGAAATAGTACCTCGGGTTAAGAACTTTGCTTCAAGATGAGAGCAGAAATCGTGCTCTGGCGGTATGGCGGCAGCAGGAGGCCCCATTAGCTAAAGTGGTGCTTCAGGTTAAGAACAATTTCAGGTTAAGAACGGACCTCCGGAACAAATTAAGTTCTTAACCTGAGGTACCACTGTATTTGTTTTGTGCTCTCTGACCTTCCCCAATGACCGCCCTCCCTCTCCACAGGGCTTGCCTCAGGAGGGGCTTCTCGTGAACGTACGTTTGGTCTGGGATGTGTTGACGCCAGACCCCGACAGCTACCCCCCACTTTACGTCCTCTGGAGGTTCCACGGTAAGCGGCGTGTTTCAGGAATAGCAAGACCACGGGTTACCTTTTTGTGGGGTTGCTAGGCGGAGGGGAGGGACCATTCCAGGAGATGGCCTGCCCGTGCCACGTCCTGTTTGTTAGCTGTGTGGAAAACCCCCGCTGAGCTAGATAAATGTGATCCCATTTAGCCTTTCACCAGCCGTGTTCATGAGGAATGGAGCTTCCATGTTCAAGAGCAGTCTGCCTCTCTGTCCTGGGGACAAACAGCAGGGGAGGGCTATTCCATCCCTCCATTCATTCATTCATTCATTCATTCATTCAACTTGTATAACCACTTCACGTTTCAGCAGAAATCTCTTTTACCTATCCCGCCACCTCAAAAGAAGATTATACGGGCAACTCCCAGTTTCCACGAGGGTTACATAATGCGGCATGTCAGTGAAATCACGAATATTTGAAACACTATTGTAAAAAGCCTGCAAGCGCCACAGTTGCACCCTCTAAGCCTCCTTGCCCAAACTCCAACTCTCCACAGACCTTAACGGTTGGTGCAAGGGCTTCCTGGGATTGATCCTGCAACGGCGCGTGGGTCGCTAGGCACTGTTTCTATGTCTTTTTTTGCCCTTTCTACGCTCTTTTTTAGGGTCCTTTTTTTGCCACTTCTGGGCTTGGGGCGATGCACGCTCACGCATGCCTTGAACACACATAATTGATATAATGCAATGTAAGAAATAGGGATGGAGCTATGTAGAGGCATCGGCTGGCTTCATAGTTTTTCCCACATTGTGATTTTTTGCATAACACACACACACACACACACACACACACACACACACACACACCATGATTCATGATATATTGCCAGGTCAAAAATTATGAAACCAGTATCACGATATGGACTAGACCAGTTTTGGACGATATATCGCCCAGGCCTGACATGTATCATTATTTGTGATATACAGTCAAACCTTGGTTCTCAAATGGCTTAGTTGCCGAACAAATCGGCTCCTGAATGCCACAAACCCGGAAGTGTTCGAGTTTGCGAACGTTTTTCAGAAGCCAAACGTCGGACGTAGCTTCAACTTGAGTGCAGGAAGCTCCTGCAGCCAATCAGAACCTGCGCCTTGGTTTTCGAACAGTTTCGGGAGTTGAACAGACTCCTGGAACAGATTAAGTTTGAGAAGCAAGGTACCACTGTATTGCCAGGTCAACAATTATGAAACCAATATCACAATATGGACTTCAGACCGGTTTTGGACAATATATTGATATATATTGAGACCTCTGGGTATAGGGCAGTATATAAATTCAACCAATAAAATAAATATCGCCCATCCCTAGTGCAGTCACTTGTCAGTTGGATGTGCATAAACACAGTACATACTTAGGCACACACTCTCTGTCTCTCATACCCCATATAGTGCAAAATTCACAGAGTACCAAATACTGTGACAACTAATAATAACAGCAGAAAATCCACATTTTGTTCAACACAGTTAAGCAGCAGCAAGTACCTCAAAGCAATATGCGTAAGTCCGCTCGCAGACACGTAACCGCCTTTCTTCGCACCCCACCCAGGTAACATCCCCACCCGCCTCCAGTCCTGGCGCCGACACAACCACCCCTTCTCGCTCTCGTTCCTGGAGGCTGTGTTGAGCTCGGTCGGGATGGGCGAGATGCACAAGGCCATCTCTCTGTTCCTGGACACGGTGAAGGAGCAGTCCGGCACGACACACATGCCCAGGTACGGTTTCTCCTCTCCTGCCCCTCTGCCCACCTACTCCTGCACGTCCCTGCGGCAAGCTTGGGCCCACCTGGCCCAGTGTTGCCTACACTGGCTGGCAGAGGCCGTCCGGGGTTTCAGGCGAGAGTCTTTCCCCAGCCCTGCCTGGGCATGTTGGGGATTGAAGCTTGGGCGTTCTGCATGCAAGGCAGCTGTCCTGCTACTCTGCCATGGCCCTCTCCTCTAAAGATAAAAGTAGGATTCTGCTTCCCATGCTTCTGGATGAAGGGTATATTTAAATAGTCACAGAGGAAGACGCCTTATATTAAGTCAGACTGTTGGGATTTGGGGCAGACATACCTGGAGATGGCGGAACCGGAGGCCTTCCTCGTCCAAATGCCCTGTTATTTTGCCTTGATCCTTTCCCTAAAGGCAAGCCAAGATTCCAGTCCTCATGAAAAAAGGGGTGGTTTAATAATAATAATAATAATAATAATTTATTATTTATACCCCGCCCATCTGGCTGAGTTTTCCCAGCCACTCTGGGCAGCTCCCAATCAAGTGTTAAAAACAGTACAGCATTAAATATTAAAAACTTCCCTGAACAGGGCTGCTTTAAGATGTCTTCTGAACGTCAGGTAGTTGTTTATCTCTTTGACATCTGATGGGAGGGCGTTCCACAGGGCGGGCGCCACTACCGAGAAGGCCCTCTGTCTGGTTCCCTGTAGCCTCACTTCTCGCAATGAGGGAACCGCCAGAAGGCCCTCGGCTCTGGATCTCAGTGTCCGGGCTGAACAATGGGTGTGGAGACGCTCTTTCAGGTATACTGAGCCGAGGCCATTTAGGGCTTTCAAGGTCAGCACCAACACTTTGAATTGTGCTCGGAAACGTACTGGGAGCCAATGCAGATCTCTCAGAACCGGTGTTATGTGGTCCCGGTGGCCACTCCCAGTCACCAGTCTAGCTGCCGCATTCTGGATTAATTGCAATTTCCGGGTCACCTTCAAAGGTAGCCCCACATAGAGCGCATTGCAGTAGTCCAAGTGGGAGATAACTAGAGCATGCACCACTCTGGCAAGACAGTCCGCAGGCAGGTAGGGTCTTAGCCTGCGTACCAGGTGGAGCTGGTAGACAGCTGCCCTGGGCACAGAATTGACCTGCGCCTCCATGGACAGCTGTGAGTCCAGAATGACTCCCAGGCTGCGCACCTGGTCCTTCAGGGGCACAGTTGCCCCATTCAGAACCAGGGAGTCCCCCACACCCACCCGCTCCCTTTCCCCAAAAAAACAGTACTTCTGTCTTGTCAGGATTCAACCTCAATAGGAACATAGGGAGCTACCTCTCAGTGTGTTGGACCATCCAACTCAGTGCTGTCTGCACTGACTGACAGCATCTCGCCACAGTTTCAGGCAGCCATACCAAGAGATGCTGGGGTTTAAAGTGGGGGCCTTCTACAAGCAAGTCAGGTGCCCTGCTGCCAAGCTAAAAAATTCCCCGTGGTCCCATGGGCACTTTCACAGGGACTTTTGCGCTGCTCTGATTCCCTCTCCTCGTTCTCTTCTTCTCCTTAGGAGCGTTTACCACGAGATTCTCTTCTTGAAGCTGGCAGCCCTGGGCAGAGACCACGTGGACATTGGTAAGTGCAAGGCCCCTGTATCCCGGAGGAGTTTGAATGGCACAAGCTACTTGGAGACAGAGGATGTCTGGAGAGCTGCTGCCGGCCAGTGTAGGCACTGCTGAGCTGGTTGGGCCTGTGGTCTGTATAAGGCAGCCTCTGAAGTTCCTAAGCAGGAAGGGGAAGTGAGAAAGAGTTCTCCACACCCAGCAATTTTACAAGTCATTACCCACACAGGCTACATCCATGAGGTCTAGGAACTTGCTTGTATTTCTTCCCCCCAAAGGAAAAAGGCTAACGTTCTCAAGAATCTTTTTGGCACTGTCTTTGCATCCATGAAGTTTGAAAATTTTGTTGCATTGTACATTTTTGAGATCTGTTTTTCCTTACCCTCTTAACAGTTTGATTTCAAAGTCTTCTCTTCGTTCTGCTTATCTATTTTTAAAAAATATTTCATTTACTTGACAATACTGAAACCAATTGGATATCCATTCTCTTCTTGTTTTTTTAAGGTTTACAACCACCTTCAGAAAAATTTGATGTAGCCCATTATGCCCCCATATTTATTTTCTTTTGTGGGAAATAGCCCCAGGGGCGTTTTTCTTTCCAGTAGGTTTTTGTGCCCGGTCCACACTCCATAAAGACTGCTTCTTACAATAGGATTAAAAAAATTCTTTGTGGACTTTTACCTCCTAAATCTTCACGATGCTGAAGTGCAAATTCGAGGGGCTTTCTTTGTGTCCATGAGGCCTAGAAACCTGCCTGTGTTTATTTAAAAATGAAAGGAAGAAAAAAGCTGAAATTCTCAGGATGCTGAGTTCCACAAGGTCTAGAAACCTGCCTGTGTTCATTTAAAAATAAAAGGATGAAAAAAGCTGAAATTTTCAGGGTGTTGAGATCCAGCTGTCAGGTCCTTCTGCTTCTCCCACAGCAGTTCTCAACCTGTGGGTCCCCAGATGTTGTTGGACTACAACTCCCATCATCCCTAGCTAGCAAGGCCAGAGCTCAGGGATGATGGGAGTTGTAGTCCAACAACATCTGGGGACCCACAGGTTGAGAACCGCTGTAAGAAGAAACCTGGAGAAGAGGGAGCGCCTTCACTTTCTGCCTCTTCCTCTCTCTGCAGCCGACTTCGACAAGAAATACAAATCTGCCTATTCTAAGCTGGCCAGCAGCATAGGGAAGGAGACTCTGAAGCAATGGAGAGCCCAGCCGCTCACCTCCAAGGCCATCGACTGCCGGAAAAGCTTTGGGGCCAACCTGGAATGCTAGCGGGGGTCACCCATGCCGCCGCCGCCAATCTTCCCCCCTGCCGTTTCACCTCTGGCACCCCCACCCTCCAATTCCTGCAACATAGGAATCGCCAAGGACACAGCGGGAGCTGATAACCAAATCGCGGCGGGAGCCGGTCGCTGCCACCACAGGACCTCCTCTGGGGCAGACTAGGGGACCCCGGAATGAGAGGCCTGTCGCCGTCCTCTCCTCAGAGACCCCTCTGGTCCCTGTGTCCCCCCCGGAGCTGGAGCGGGGTGTCCCAACGCTAGCCGGCAGTGGGGAGACGGCGGGTCTCAGGGACCAGGTGCATTTGGGGTTTTGGGAGCGCCTCTCCCCATCCCTCCTGTCCCAGCACTGCACTCTGCACGTGCATGAGAACACCCGGACGCCGTCCCCTCCCTCTCCCGTCTCCCCCCTTCCTCCCCACCCAGGTCGACCCCTCCCAGAGCTCCTCTATATTTTTGTGCACTGTGTTATTTTCTGGAAGGCAAGTCTGCCCGTTTCTTCCCGCGACACATCAGGGTTCAATTCAGGAAGAGGGCAACCCATCTCAAAGCCAAGTTGGGTTTTTGTTTTTTGTTTTTACCATCAGTGTTGTTTTTTTTCCGGGGTTGGGTGGGGGTGGGAAGGGGGGGGAGGGAGAGAGAGAGAGCTATTTTATAATTTATTTATTGTCGAGACCTTTTTCGTTGTTGTTGTCGTCGCTTTAACTGCCGAAAAGAGGAGCCCGCTAGCAGGTGATGGGGTGGTTGGGGTTGAAAAGCCCATTCTACAAGTCCACCTCCCTCTTTCTCTGCTTTGCCAGCCCCTTCCCCAAGGGAAGGGTTGTCTCCAGCTAAGTTCTGCTCAGACATGTTGAAATTAATGAAGTTGGGCCCCATCCGCACTACACTTTTAAAGCGGGATCATACCGCTTTAAACAGTCATTGCTCCCCCCAAAGAATCCTGGGAGATGTAGTTCGTTAAGGGTTCTCAGAGTTGTTAGGAGACCTCTCTTCCCCCTCACAGAACTATAATTCCCAGAGTTCCCTTAAGGAGAAAGGTTGATGGTTAAACCACTCTGGGATTTGTAGCTCTGGGAAGGGAACAGGGGTCTCCGTGCAATTCTCTGCACCCTTAACAAACCGCAGCTCCCAGAATGCTTTGGTGTGGGGAGCCGTGACTGTTTAAAGTGGTATCATAGGGTTTTAAATGTATGTTGCGGGTACAGCCTAGCTTAGGCCCATTAATTTCAGCGAGTCTGAGCAGAACAAACGTTCGGTGCAACCCGGCGTGTCGTCCCGCCACCCCACTTTCTCCTCAGGGCTCGGATTGTGCAATATGGAGGCTGATCTCCATCAAGACCCTATTTGTTGTATTCTTCATTTTGTTGGTTTGTCCGTTTCGATGTTCCCGGTTCTGTAAATAAAGAGGCTTCTGTATTTTCCTTCCGGGGTACTGCACACGCGTCTTCGATTGGGGCATAAGAGGAGGCCGGGCTCAGGTTCGCCTCGGAAACCCAAGTCCGTAAATGCGACGACGGAACGCGAAGATCTGCTTTAATGTGTGATCCCTGATGGGTTGGGATATGTGTTTGTGGGCCCTCCATGCATTTAAAGTGCTGCGAGGCCACTTTAAACAGTCCCGGCTTCCCCTAAAAGATTCTGGGACCTGTCGTTTCTTAGGGGAGCTGAGAGTTGTTAGGAGACCCCAGCTCCACTCATAGAACTACAATTCCCAGAGTTCTCTGGGAAGAGAGATGGGTTGCTAAACCATTCTGTCTCAAACCCCGCAGAGTCAGGACAGACAGTAGTAAACTACATGGACCCAATGATCCAAACTGGAGGTATAAAGCCACTTCCTACGTTCTTCAGATCTTTCGGAGCCATGAGGACTGGAATCTTAACTTTCATTTTAGGGGAAAGACCACCACTCTGTATTGCAGCACCTGCTGTGCGTGCAACAAAGCCCAAATCCCATCTCCAGCTTCTCAAGATGGGATGTGTCCAAACCCCAGAGAGCTACTGGGCATTCCATGCAGAGCAGCGATGGGGAAACACGGGCCCTCCAGATATTCCTGAACTTCACCACCTCACTTAGCATGGCCAATGGTCAGGAGTTGTATTCAAGGAGTGTCTAGGGGGAGATAAACTGTTAAGTTGTGGGTGAACATATCAGACGACACAGCGATTCTTCAAACAGCTCTTGTTTATTCACAGGCCAGAACAGAACTGAACTGAAGGACTCAGTCAGCCTGCTTATATAGAGCTCCAGTACCACGTTACTGTAACAACTTTCTAAAACTATCCAATCACTGAACTTCACTTTCGATCCTTCATTTGCATAACTATCTACAGTATCCCCCTGCTGGCCCAGGGTGAGAACTTCAGTACATAACACAAACATTCCCCCTCCCTGGTATAGACAGTCCTAAACTAGATGTACTGGCAGGTCTAACTCGGCAAATGGCAGTTTTTTAATGTTTCTAAGGCCTCATCTGTGCCATACATTTAAAGCCATTTTAAGAGCCATGACTCCCCCAGCCGCGCCCCCAAAGAATTCTGGGAAGTGTAGTTGTTTGAGGGTTGAGCGCTACAATTCCTTGGCAAGAGGAATTGGTTGATAAGAGCCAACTAATTCTGGTTTTGTCCTCGCCCTCCCTCCACAAAGGCCACGTGGAGACTAAGGAGGTTGCAGGGAGCCAGGGTCGCCCACCAGAACGATTGCAAGGCCACAAGCGCACCATCCATTTAAAGCACTTTTAGCCAGTCATGGCTCCCTTCGCAGAATTCGGAAGGGCCCTGGGGATTTGCTAGGAGACCCTTCTATTCCTCTCCCAGAGTTGTAGCTCTGAATGCGACTTAATTAAGGAGGTGGGCAGGAGGAGCGGCCCCAAGGGACCAGCCTCCACTATCTGGTGTCAGCAGTGGAGGGATTCAAAATGGCGCCCCCAAGAGCATTATGGGAAACGCGAAATCTTGGCTCACGGACCCAGGGCAAGTTCTGGTGGAGTCACCTGGGCTGCTGAGGCTCCAGAGCTGTCTACCAGCACAACCCTGTCCATGTTTGCTCAGAATTCCCCCCCCCCCGTGTTTAATGGGGCTTCCTTTCCCCACGCGTGTGGAGGACCGCCATCTGAGACCAGACACTCCATGTTCTTCTAGGGCAGAGGACGTCACGCCAGGAAAATGAACCTCAATTGTGTTGTTTTTAACGGGGACAGAGGGAAACAGCCAGGAACTGAATCGCCAGCCTCCCCTGGGATGACCTTGCCAGACTTTTGGCGCTTGGGCTTGCCAGAAATAGCCTGTTTAGGAAATCAATACTTCCCTCGTTTTCTGTTTTGGGTGGCAGAAGCTTATTGGCCCCCGCCGCTTCACCGTCATCTGTACTTGTGGGGAGGGCACGGAGCCTGTCAGTCATACGCCGCCAGCCAATGAGGGGCAGAGAAGCAGAAGGAAGCCATAGATCCAGGCCGGAGTCCCAACTGGCGCTGTGCCATCTTTCCTTTTGTAAACTGGCAGCCATGTTGAGTCCTGGCGATATCTGGGCTTCGGGGACTGCTGTACAGGGGTTTTTAAAAATTTTATTTTAGGCTTGCCGCTACCGCCACCTGTTCTTTTCTCTTTTCTTGCATTCTCTTTGATGAAGAGCCACAACTCCGGGCATGCTTTTTCTCCCCAAATTTATTTATTTGGTTTTCAAATTACAGAGCTATATCAAACATAGATCATAAAAACAAGGTTCCAAGGAATCTCCTGGACTTCCATCCTCCCCTTTGTGCATCTTATTATTAATCATTTCCTCCCAGATCTTTTATGATACTCCAAATCCTTTACCTCTTCCAGTATGTCCAGAATTCAACCTTAAACTACAAGTGTTACTCCAATCCTCCTAACGATTTTAACTGTTTACAATGGTCTTTAAGATAAGTTATAAATTCTCCCCATTCCTTATTAAAATTTTGGTCTTCCTGATTTCTGACTCTTCCGGTCGTTTTAGCCATTTCAGCATAGTCCATTAATTTCATTCTTCTCTGGCTGGGACTTTATCTTCTTTCCATCTCTAGGCCAGTAACATCCGTGCAGCTGTGATCACATACATAAATAGTCTTTTCTTCTCCTTTGGGATTTCGGCTCCTAGTATTCCTAAAAGGAAGGCTTCAGGAAAGTTGTTTTAAACATTTTTTCTCAACTCATTATATATCATTTCCCAAAATCCTTTTACTACCTTACAATTCCACCACATATGATAAAAGGTGTCTTCTAAAACGCACGCTTTTCACGCAGAAGGACTCGGGTTCGATCAGCAGCAAGACTTGGACACAGCCCATGGACACTGAACTCCTGGAGTCTAGACAATATTCAGATAGTTGAACCAAACCAGATCCTCCAAGTGCTCCTATTTTCCAAGGACAGTCCCAGATTTACAGAAGCCGTCCTGGTTTCTGATTTGATCCCAGAATGTCCGGCTTTTCCTTAGGTAAGGGTAAAGGGACCCCTGACCGTTAGGTCCAGTCGTGGCTGACTCTGGGGTTGCAGCGCTCATCTCGCTTTATTGGCCGAGGGAGCCGGCGTACAGCTTCCAGGTCACGTGGCCAGCATGACTAAGCTGCTTCTGGCAAACCAGAGCAGCGCACAGAAACGCCATTTACCTTGCCGCCGGAGTGGTACCTATTTATCTACTTGCACTTTGACGTGCTTTCGAACTGCTAGGGTGGCAGGAGCAGCGGGAGCAACGGGAGCTCATCCCGTCGTGGGGATTCGAACCGCCGACCTTCTGATCAGCAAGTCCTAGGCTCTGTGGTTTAGACCACAGCGCCACCCGCGTCCCTCGGCTTTTCCTTAGGACGTCCCTACTTTCTTTGGAGAAATGTTGGAGGGTACAAAGCTCTGACTCGGAGTAAGGCAGCATTGCATGTTTAGTATTTAAAATAGTTTCAGTCCCCATTAACTCTGGGTAGAAAACTCCCCGCCTGGAACCCTGGAATGCCACTGCCAGTCAGTGTAGACAATACT